TTTTCCCTGTGTTCCAGAAATTGCAATGAGTGTCTTGGTATGACTCAAGTACTAATGAACTAATGAAGATTAATTTATTTAATGGGTGCTGTCTAATGTTCTGAATAACATGAAAACATATCTATGAACTGCATGTCAGGTTTGCAAGAATCTTGAATGTGAGTGAAGATCTTTCGTTGTTTGCCCACTCTATGTTACTGAAATATTCTACAGTCCATTTAAATAGTTGAGTGCATTCTTAGTACCTCTTGCTGGAGATTACAACACAATTTCTTAACTGAGTTGCCAGTGCACAATAGGTTTTGTTTCACAACTAACAGGCGTTTAAGGGTTTGAAGTCTCTGTGTTTTATTCTGATTTTTCTTAGCAGGTTTTTTTATCATGGCAGCTGCCAAAACAAGGGGTTTATGCAGTTGTATGGAATTTTGCTGATTAGTTTTGTGCAATTCCAAGGGTTGACTGAAGTACCCCTGCAGATCTGACAAGGCCTGTATGTTGCTAGGATCAATTTTGCTGAATCTTTCATGAATCTTTCACGAACAAGACAAAGCATTCATGGATTTGATATACTGTAGAAGTCCCCGTCTGCACTTCCTCTCTTCTCATGTCTCATAAAATGCAGTGTTGTTAGAGCTAAAATTAACGATAAGACACCCTTAATCTGAAGCTGTTCAAAATGTACTTTTGTGGTAGAACTATACATTAGTTTGTATTAAAATTATTCAGCACCATCTAATCTCTGGTTGCTTCCTACTAGGTTATAGAACCGATTATATAAGTACCTGACATGAAGTATGAACTATATGGTTGAACCATAACCTTGTAAATGAAAAGCAGGGTAGAAAAAAAGATGATGGTTTTCGCATAACAAAATAGGCCAGTGAGGCATTTACCGGCAAGAGCCTTTATCCCACCTCTGTGCACTATACAGCACTAGTTGTCCTGCAGGCCTTTGTCGCAGTGAGCAGTTCTGTGGGCAGCAAAGTGGACCGTGTGCTCATTAGTTCAGGGCCTGTTCTGAGGTTTCCACTTCTTTCTGAAGTATTAATACCATCTGGGCAGTGACCTCATCTTGCTATCTTGCTGTCTTGCTGTTACAAGAAGCATGGAGGCTGAAAGGTTTAAAAAAGTTAAGAAAAGCCATGCGACCAAGGCCTTGGAGCCAGCCCCTCCTCTTCAGAGTGCTATTTTGTGGAGTCAGAGGAGGATCGCAGTTTCTCATTATTAATCACTCCCTCGGCTGGCGGTGGGCTCCTCTGTGCTGATGATGAAACTTGTTCCAGACTAGATGGCTTTTTTTTTTTGCTAAGTAAGCCACATGGAGGGTTTGTCTTTCTCAGTCTTTTATTTTTTTTCCCACATTTTTCCAGACTGCTTGCCGGGGGCAGAGTGACTCAGTACGTAGCCATTCAGATGGGTTTAATTACAGCACCTCCTTTCATGGTCAACACAGCCCTGAAGCCACGGTGATGGCGGGGCGGGAGGTGCACTGTAGGAAATGTAGTGTCTCTGCAGCTGTGGCAGGACCAGTGTTTTGTCATTATGCATTTTGTTCTCTCTTTAATGAGAATAATAGAGACAGTTTTTTTCTCACAGAAATGGATGAAAAGATGCTTTTCTAAAATACTTGTTTGATACAGGCTGTTTGTAAAACATCACACCTGGAATTCTAACTCCATTCTGGAGCTTCTGGTCACTGGTCGGTAAAGATAACCTGCTTCAGCTCATCAGGTCTTCAGAATCCTGCCAGCTGGGTGAGAACACAACTCGCTCGAGATTTGTGGCTGAAGCTTCCATGTGTATGTTGTTTGCACACTATTTGCGTTTAAATAATTCAGGACTTATAAATTAATACCCCCCATGGCTCCTGTTGAAGGTCGGGTGTTTTTGCAGAGCATTGCTGTGTCTCTTCACTGTTGTGCTCAGACCAGGCTGTTCCTTTGTCAAACTCACACTTTTGCTTTGTAGCCTGGGGCTGTCATCCTGCGCGTCCCATGGTCTCTGTCTGTCCTGTCTGCGCACTGCCGGCTGGCCCTCGTGCAGCAGGGCACAGGAGCAGTGTGCTGGGCAGTGCTGTAAACTGCAGTGAGATGGGCTTGTAGGGACCTGACTCTGCAATGAGCGTGGAGGCTGACAGGCAGGGTGAGACAGGCTCCCTCCATTCCTTTGCTTAACTGTTTAGGCTCAGCTCACAAATGCTGAACTGATCAGTAGCGCCACCTACTGTGAAGGCCTGATTGCTTTATGCGATAGCTAGTTCTGCACTGCTTCTGCAAACAAGACTGTATGGGTGTTAGTTTTGTCCTCTGTGAATGTAGACTGTTTCTTCTGATGTGACAACATTATACCTGTGAACCTGTGTATCTCGTTTAGTGTGGAAAAGTGTTGATAATGGCAAAAGGCGGCAGTAAAAAGTGTTTACAGAACAGGTTTACGGGGGGTCCTGTGACCCTCAGGCTGGGGTCTGGGTCTGGGGAGAGATAGAGAGAACAGGAAAGGCTTGCTGGCCTGGTGTGAGTTTGTTTGGTTTAACGACTTGGGAGTCGGTCCGGAAGGGGCTGTGACACCCTGGGCATATGCAGGGCCTGACAGGTGACAGTGCTCTTGTGATTTCTGCTCTGGGGAGGAGAGGCAGGCTTGTGAATTGGGGCTGATTGAGCGGACTGGAGGAGTTAATTGGGAGGAGCTGATCATTGTGATTGGAGCCACGGCAGGTGTTGGATCAGCCAGCCCTGCCCTGCAATTAAAGCTTGGGAGCCTTGAGACCGATGGACGGGCCGCCCCCATTTCCCAGACATCCTGTTTCTCACTCTGAGCCACTGGAACTTCAGAAGCCTTGGCACAAGGAACACAGTTCGATGGTCTAGAGCTGCCAACTTCCACTGCAGTCCGGGAGGAGGGCAGGGAGCCCTGGGCTGGAGAGGGGAAGAAACCTGTCCCTGCACAGCTGTGGGGCTGGAGGGCATTGTTGTGTGTCTCAGTTTTATCCCTCTTCATAATGAGACAATAACCCCCCCCCCCTTCTTGTGCTCCTCTGGGGATTAGCACTCCAAAGCAGAGCCACATGTGGACAAATCCAGCAGCTGTAGCACACGCTTGACCCCAGGCAGGCATTCCAGAGCAGTAGCCCCACCCCAGCGAGGCAGGAGGCAGGAGGCAGGAGGCAGGAGGCAGGAGGCAGGAGGCAGGAGGCAGGAGGCAGGAGGCAGGAGGCAGGGACAGAGCTGGGGGGGGGGGCGAGGTGAGGTGGGTGCCATCTCATAACTTGTCCCCACCGCTCTGCCAGTTCTTCTGTTAATCGTTAACCAGCCTTGCAGTGCTGGTTCACTCCTCTCAATGACGAGGTTATCAAGTGTTCCTATAAAACAGGCAAGGGCTTTAGCCTTTGTACTGCAGGAGATTGAGAACATGGAGCTCTTGAAGGTGCTGCATATTACTGAGGAAATCACTGAGCTCCCCCAGCTCCCCGCCCCCCTGGTGCACTGTCTGGTGCACTGGGAAGGCCGAACTGCACCCAGTTTGGGGCGAGGGCTTGTCAGGGGCGTGACTGATGGCTGTGAACTCTGAGCCCTGTCCTCCATTCAGCTACCGCCTTGTCATTCAGAAGATGTAGCAAGGGAGCAAGGCCACATACTGTAGTAAAGAACTGTTTCGACAGTAAGGAGATTTTGAAGCCATTTGTAAAGCATATTAGCCAAGATGAATGTAATCAAATAGTACAGAATTATTGTTTATCTTTTCCATTAACAAATTACCATATTACCAGCAATATTCATCCATTTAATTGAGGAAGCTGGATGGATTAAAAGTTCTTGGGTTTTTTTCTGTTGTTGGGAGTGAAGGGGCTGAGGGGTATAAACGAGGCATCGAACACTGACTGTAACATAACATAATTTGTTTCCACGTTGTATTTGGTGTCTGAGTCCATTCCCAGCCATGACATTTCATCCTTTGGTTAACATTAATGCTGCATTGCTAAGCTAGGAATTGGGCTAATTTCCTAATGCCCCTCTTTCTCTCTCTTCTAGGTTTTGAAACTCCAGGGACAGCAGGACACAGACAGCGTGACAGAAAGCGAAGATCTTGTCTCGTCTCAGCCAGGAAGTGACTGCTGAATACCAGACTTTTTTTCTGTTGCTGGATTATTACCTAATCAGGCTTTGGCCATAAAAGAAAGAAGGATTCAGACAAAGCAAGAAGACAGAGGTTAAAAAAGGAACCTGCTCCAGATACTATAACAGCCCCCCTCCCTTCACATCTTTCTTGTGAAACGCAGAACAGTTCAGCTTTCTGTGACTCTCTGACAACTTCCTGTTTTGTGGTGAACTGCTGAGGGGAGGGAGCCCTCTCTCTCGCTCACTCTCTGGTCTCTCGCTCACTCCTCTGGTCGTCATGACGACTGCAGTCCAGCCCACTGAGCTGGTGTTCGAATTCGCCAGCAATGGAATGGACGAAATTCACCAGGTACCTCCATCCAGACACCCATATGCAATTCTCCCCACCTGCGACTCTTTGAGGGAGCAGAAAGAGTGGCTGTGTGAGAAGGAAAACAAAGTATCCGTGAGCAACAGGGTCCTCTTGTCATAGGGATAGGGTCTACAATCATACTGCATTTAGCATTCAGTGGCTCAATAGTGTGGTAAGAAGCTAATGACCAAAAAGCACCGGCAAAGCTGAGTTTGTGCTCACAAGACTGGAGATGAGCTGCGGATGGAATTATCCAGTCCAGTCACCAGTCCAGCTCCAGTCTCTTGCATGAAGGAAATGCTTAACTGCACATACTGTATGTCTGGAATTCGGTTAAGACCTTATTTACTGTACTCTCACACGCACGTTATTGTTCCCCTTGAGCCTAACCTTCTGTTGACACTGGCTTGTTTTGGTGTGTAGCCTGACGGAAAGGGCCTGTGAGAGAGGGAGCAGGGCAGCAGGGCCTGAGATCAACGAAGTGATGGATCCCTGCAGGCACTCCAAGTGTGTGTGTGTGTGTGCAAAACTGCAGAAAGTGTCTTCTCTACAATGCTAGTGGCTTTTTTATATACCAAAGGACGCATTTTGTCAAGGCAAGAACCAGACCAGTTGTTGTTTAGGGTTTCTTTTCACCACTTGTGGACTTTCATGTGAGTGGAGATGGGAACAGCAAGCACATGTGGAATGGGAGTCGCTGGGGCGCTTTCACCCACAGAAACGATAGGAATGGGATCCGTTCCAGTCACACCAGGCAGGCTGCGCCGCTGCTCTCTGTCTTGTTTATCTCTTTGCGACCGATAACAACAAACCTGTCGGCCCTCGGGGGGCTTGGCCAGTGTATGTTTACCAAAACACACCACGACGTTGCCCTGGCTGCAGTCACAGTGCCATCCAGCAGGAGGCAGTGCTTCAGTTCCGCATTGCTGGTGGTGGTTTGTGACCTTATTCATGTACAACAAGTATCTGAAAGCCTTGATTTAATTAGAGACTGTTCCCTAAAGTCTGAAGCCATGAAAGAGAAATTCGGTCAGGGTATGGCCATTGATTCAGTATTTATTTCTTCGCATGAGTCTTTTGAAAAAGGCACAGTATGGGGTGCCGCGTGCCTGCTGTTGCTTGCTTCTCATCTCTGGTGTGTTGGGTTTTGCGGAGTCGATAATCGGCGCTGTGGTGGGAGGGGCTGTGATGATTGTAGACAGCGCTGAGTGGCGTGGAGGAAGGCCGGGAAGGCAGATTGTTTTGCCGAAAGGGCTCAAAGAGGAAGTGGTTATTACCAGCTTGTGCCTCTTGTTCTTTTTTTTTCCGAAGCCAAGCTGTCCGTGACTCTCACACGCACAGCAGAGGCGACGGGAGGGGGTCACCCCTGTGGTCCCGGAGGCTGATCTCCCCAGGGGTTCATCAGGCCCGGACACAGGTCGTGCTTCCCATCCCCGTCCGCGGAGGAGTCCCTGATTTCGTTCTTGCTGAAGCCTTCAGTCCTCATAGCAGAAGACAAATCCGGCAGTTCGTTGGAAAAGCAGAAGAAGGTAGAATGTAGGAGGAACCCTTTTTTTAAAAAAAATTTCCTCTGCTTATCAGGGAACTCAGAAATGCAAATGCAGCCTCCGGGAGCTGTGGGGCTGATCTGTGAGCAGAGCCGCCATTATGACTTGAGTGGCTTGTCCCAAGCTCCCTTCATTTACATCTCTTCCACGTCCGATCGCTCCCAGCGACCCTGGCGAAGGCAAAACTGCTCTCGCTGGGATCTAATCTGGAGCTCGATGGTGCAAGGTCTTCACTTCTGTCTGCGTCTGAGTGTGTCTTCTACACTGCCTGCTGGGTTTATTTTCAGATGGATTACCCTTGATTTTTAAATATTTCCCTTTTTGATGTTTTATCTGACTTTCCTGAGGGAAGTCTCTAAAGTTAAACTTCTAAAGTTAAAATTAAAGAAAGATAATTTATTTAAAAGAAAAAATAAATGTATTCCCTTGAGCCTCTTGACCTACAAGTCTCTTAATTGTTACCATTTTCCTGCTATATGTGTATTTTGCAGGAGAAAAAACACATTTCTCAAAGGAAATCTGTGAACAGGGTAATGAACGTCACCGGGAGTCTTCCAGATAAGGGATGTAAACTATTGTTTTGTCCAGTACTGTGAAGTGTAGGGGTTATCCACTCAGTGTCCTGGTGTCTCAACTTCCAGGCCGGGTTAATTCTGTGCGCGAGTGTTTTTGATATTTGTACTTAAAAGATATTTTAAATCTTGGTGACTAAAGGTTTCGTTACATTTTCTTTGGATATCAAGATGAGAGGATCAGTGTGTGTAGTTTGTGCTTGGGCTGAAGTAGCGAGACCATTGATTTGATGATGTCTATTGCCATCTGCTGGACAGAGTTTGCAATTGCTGTTGATGCCACTCTGGATGATTACCGTGCTTGTTAGAATTACTTGTTGAATAGTTTACCAATAGCAGTTTTATGAAAGTTTCAGGTCCAATCTGCTCTCTCGTTATGTACTTGATCAAGTGCAGTAACACAAGTTTGACTTAGGAATTTTTTGCTGTGGCTTTTCATCTTTGCCAAACATCTCTTCTGTTTCTGAAATGTATTTTTCATAATATTGCAGGATGCTATTAATTTGCCTTGAATGAGCATGAAACCCTAACATGAATTATTGCCAATAAAAGCAAAACGTCTCTGTGTGGACTAGCGTTCTTTCCTTGAGTGCAGTGACCTTGTTTGTAAATTGTAGATTTATTGGTCAGCTCCTCAGTAAGACATAAGCATTGCAGTGAACAGATGTTTCTCTTTTCTCTAAGGACACCATAGAGCATGTAGCAAAAAACTGCTCCAGCACTGGTAAGCAGCAGTATTTGTTTTTCGTTTCATGGGTTAGCAGTTGAATGGCGGCTACGCAGTCTGGCGTTATTCAGTGTGCTCTGCTGTAAACTGTTCTAGAGTTTTGGAAGTCTCTCAGAATGAGAGGCGATGTTCTGGATCTTTGGGTGTTTGTTGGTGCCTCCTGGTTTCCCTGCAGGCGAGGGACACGGGAGGCTGGGGTTTGAATGGGCCTGAGCAGGGCTTGCCTGGGTGTGGAGATGTTGGGCGGCGTGGGGGCCAACTGGAGTGCTTCCCGTGGTGTGGTAATCCCCAGACATGCTGTAACCCCACTTTGAGACGTTTTCTCCCCACTTGGAGTATCTTTCACCGCAGGTGCGAGATTTGCCGGGCTGGGGAACCAGTTTAGCTGGCAGTGCCACTTGTTGGTGTTCTTCTCTTCCCGATCCCTCCCAGCTGCCCTCACCTGCTGCGGCTTCATTCAGGCCTGGTTTCTGGGTTGAGTCTGTGCCAAGTCTAATGGGCACTGCAGTGCTTCTCACGGATGTTTTCAAACACAACCTGCAGCTTGGCTCTGCGAATAATTTATTTAAAAAGTATTCTGCAGATGCACACAGCTAATCTCGCGGGTTGACAGAAACCTGTCTGCAAGCCATGTGAATATTTTCCAGATTTCTGTGTGAAGTGAGGCGTTACTCTGGAGTGTGAAAAGGTGCCACTCTGCTAAGAAAGCAAAGATAATGGGGCAGACTTAGAGTATAAATGGAATCTGTGTCTGCAGATGAAAAATTAAAAAGTTAGATCATTTATTTTGCTAACCTCTTTTAACCTCGCTAACTGTACTGTGGTACAGTTTTAAAGTGACACTGCTTAGAACTCCACAATCTTACAAATGGAAGGTATGAAAAGAATGAGCTGCATCAAATTGTTTCCATTGATGTGGAACAAAAGACACTTTCACCATATGCATTGTTTTATAATGCCTAGAAATAAAACAAATTGTCAATAATGACCTATAATCTCTTTTGATGCCAGTGGTAGATTTTATCTACCTGTTATTCAGTTCTAGTGCCTGTGTCTCTTGGGTAAGACAGGTGAGAGAGTGCTCACCTGCAAGCCCATTTGGCATCATCTGGATACAAGCTGCAGGGCCACCAGACATTGAGTCAGAAACAGGTTCCCCAGCCAGCATGGCTCTTCAGATCAGTGACCGAAAGAGACATAACTATGTGAGCTTAATACACTATGGCTCCGAGAGGTTTCAGCTGTTAACGATGCACTTGGTGAGAGTGACCTGGCCATAAGGAATCTCAAAGGTTACCATCGTTATTAATTTTTTGCATAGCAGTTGCTCTTATAGTATTAATGACTTACATTAAGTATCAGTACAAGGAAGCGTTTTTAGGTACAATAAGCTTGAATAAAAAGATTAATAAATGAGGCAAGAACCAGTGATGCAATTGCCAAGAGAACAAACTGAATTGTAAGAATTAAAATGCAGACAGATACTGTAGCTGGTGTTCAGAGCAGTAGTGGAACGCCCTGTTGGTGTGTAGTCCACATGTGTAGGGAGTACAGTTAGAAAGTAGCACTGCCAGTTTGTGAGTTAACATCAGTGCAATACTGTGTAAAACTGATGTCTAACATAAATAGATCACAGGTGCTGTAACACTTTCAGCGACTGAGCAGTTCTAATTTCTCTGAAAAGTTCATCCCACGCAGTGTGTGTGCTCACAAATAGGGATACAGAGAGAAAGAATGTCCTGGAGGAGCCTATCGAGAAATAAGAGACTGAACACAGGCAGGTCCAGAGCAGCCGAGACGTTTTGAATAAGATGCCTGAAGGAATCGGAGCCTATATTTTACAACGAGTCTTACAACAAACTGTGAATATTTAAAAGCACAAGCTTTTGAAGGCCAAAGCAGTGCTGAGTGATGGGTGTGTCGGTGTAAAATGACACGCTCACTCATGACTAAGCACTGCTGACGGTTCTTGTTGTCGAGTTTGTCCCGTGTTTCTAAGCAGTACTAATTTTTAACGAGTGACATCACTATAAAACACGCTCGACCTGCCTAGGAGTGTCACAAGACTGGGTTCAGAGTTACACACAGGGTTTGCCTGCCCCAGTGGCCCAGACACACCTCTTTCAGTAGTGCTCAGTGTGACAGAGGTCAGGATATTGCACAAGCTTTTAGAAATGTACCCCCAGAAGTGCGAGAGATATCTGTTCATGCTTCACCGTTGCTAAAACCTCGTGAAGTGGGAAGTGTATTTAAACACGTGGTAGATGGTTAGGGTGGTGTTCTGCTTCCTACTGCTCCCTCAGGATGGTGCTGTATGCTACTGGACTGATCCAGCACAGCCTCATTGCCCTTTCTCTCTCTCCCTCAGGGTGGTGCTGTAAGCTAGAGACAGTGTCCTGTCTCTCTTCCTCAGGGTGGTGCTGTAAGCTAAGGGACTGATCCAGCACAGCCTCAGTGCCCTGCGTTTCTGCCTCAGGGTGGTGCTGCATGCTACTGGACTGATCCAGCACAGCCTCACCGCTGCTGTCTCCCTCTCTCTGCAGCTGGACGACCCCTCTGTGTTTCCTGCGGTGATTGTGGAGCAGGTCCCAGCTGCCGACCTCATGCAGGTGTATTCTGGGCTGGAGTCTGATGAGGTGCCCAACGGGATCATGGCCGACACGTCGCTGGACGTGGTAGAGGAGCAGATCATGGGCAGGGACCTCGGACTCGCAGGTAGGAGAGAGCCCCTGTCAGGCAGAGAAGGAGCGAGAGACGGAGCGCGGGTAATGAGCAGCTGTTTTGATGTACAGTAAAGTGAGGTCATACACCACCGCTGCTCACTCGGTTCCAAAGGGCAACAGAGAAACCAAGTGAAGTTGCAAACAGTGCCCCCATGTGGTCAATGCACAGAACACACCAAAATGTCTCCTACGAACGTGCTGACAATGATGATTTTAAACAAGGTTTATTTTGTCCTACTGTGCACGCTTATTAGTGAGGCAGAATCTTGTTTGATTTCCGTCATCTTCTTCGCTGAGATCTGCAGCGTTAATATTTCTCTCCTGTGCAGTGGAAGCCGCTGGCCAGGACACAGAGGAGAACATGGAGACGATTGAGGCTGCAGAGGCTCTTCTGAACATGGAGTCACCCAATAACATCCTGGACGAGAAGCGCATGAGTAAGGGCCCTTTACTCAGGGGAGGGCATGGGGAAGGGCAGTGCACTGCAGGGCATTGCTTTCGAATTGTTGGATGCTGACATGAAAAGCAGGTACATTCAAGGGACAACATGCAGGCTCCCACACCTATTATATCCAGGTGCTGATTTGCATTAGTGCACTGGAAAAAGCAATAAGATCACTTATTAGCCAGCAGCCATATCACTCTGCAACTCACAACTGGCAGCCCACTGAAGCTCAGCTGGTGTGAGCCTGGTCAGTACCTGGATGGGAGACCTCCTGGGAAAAACTAAGGTTGCTGCTGGAAGAGGTGTTAGTGGGGCCATGTGGGTCCTAATGCCCCAGTATAGTGACGGGGACACTATACTGTAAACAGGCGCCGTCCTTCTGATGAGACGTAAAACCGAGGTCCTCACTCTGTGGTCGTTAAAAATCCCGGGGCGTTTTCTCGAAAAGAGTAGGGGTGTAACCCCAGCGTCCTGGCCAAATTTCCCATTGGCCCTTACCAATCTTGGCCTCCTAATAATCCCCCTCTATGAATTGGCTTCATCACTCTGCTCTCCTCCCCACTGAGAGCTGGTGTGTGGTGAGCGTACTGGTGCACTATGGCTGCCATCGCATCATCCAGGTGGGGCTGCACATTGGTGGTGGTGGAGGGGATCCCCATTACCTGTAAAGCACTTTGAGTGGAGTGTCCAGAAAGGTGCTATATAAGTGTAAGCAATTATTATTAATTATGAATGATTATATACAATTTCTTGTATTAGGAATTTGTCTTTTCGCATACCCCAGCTTGCTCTCCATGAGCCACACAGGCACACAGACAGGGAGAGAGAAGTTTGGGGTCAGAGCGCAGGGTCAGCCCCCTGGAGCAGCTGGGGTTAAGGGCCTTGCTCAGGGGCCCAAGGGAGAACGATTCTGCTGCTGGCTGCCGGCTGCCGGGATTATACAGGATGTCCTGTATAATGCAAAGCAAGTGTTTTAGTCTTAACAGCAGTCCTTTTAAATCCAACATCCTCTTTAGCTTTTATCCCTGCGCGAGCCTCTGCCCGCTGTGCCTGTTACGGGAGCACGTCTGATTGTCCTACCCAGCTGTCTGCTGTTGTTGGGTCTTGGCTGTCTGAGCTCAGGTCTGACGAGCTGGGAGTGAAACTCTGCTTCTCTTGTCCTGGTCCTGCCCAGTTCACGGCTACGGTACCTTGCTGGACTCCGATCTCACGTACATCTCTCTGCGACCGGACCAGCTCCATGCTCATGGAAACGGGGTGGACATATCACTGGACGAGGAGGAGTCGATGGACGAGATCCCACAGAAGAACCCCACCAAGCCCCCGAGGAAAAACAAGGGTACATTGACAGCTCTCCTCTGCTTCCTGACACCATAGACATGCTTCTGCACTTGTTAGTGATAGGCCCAGGCCAGTGAGCCTGACATCAGACCAGACGTGTTACTGGAAGCACAGGCAGTCAGGAGCAAAGTGCCAGTTATTACAGTAGCATCTGGAGACTTCAGTGTCTATTCACTGCACGTCCAAACTGCTCACTGCACTCCACACTGCCAGGCTTTCACTAAACCTCTGAAAAAGTAGCCTGGCAGTAGGCATTTGCTTTGAACATTCAGTTTGGCAGTGTGGACTGTAGCCACTGCTAATTTAACTGGAGTCTGGTCCTCTCGTCTCCTCCCCCCAGTCCGCAAACCCAGGGTGGTGCGTCCCTGTTCCCCCGTGACCACGCCAAGCCTTCCTCTGAGGAAGAAGAGCAAGGATGGGAAAGGTAGGTGAAGAGGGAGGGGCAGAGGGACAGCTGCTCACATTGTTACGTTCTCTCTGGGGGGATGTTTCCTGAGCAGCTGGGAAGGCTGGCTTTGGGCGATTTAACTGTTGAGGTGTTCCCATCATACGATATTTCAGTCAAGGATTTTGTGTCCAGGAAGATGGATTAGAGAATATGCTTCAATTGTGATCTTCAACAGTCCTTACTTAGACTTTGATGCATTTGGTTAAAAAAATGACTTTATGGTTATACAGCAATAATCCAAATTTCAGGGTGCTACAGTTCCAGCTGGCACACACGGGGTGCACCTTTAGCTTGACCTTCCTGATTTCGGCTCATTTTGTATACCGCCTCCATTGTCTAAACAGGGAACACGATCTACCTGTGGGAGTTCCTCCTGGCCCTCCTGCAGGACAAGAACACCTGTCCCAAATACATCAAGTGGACTCAGAGGGAGAAGGGCATCTTTAAGCTGGTGGACTCCAAGGCTGTGTCCAAGCTTTGGGGCAAACACAAGAACAAGCCTGACATGAACTACGAGACCATGGGCAGGGCGCTGAGGTGAGGGCAGACTGGGGGCTGTTTTTAGCAGAGCTCATTGCCCTCATTCTCCTCTGAAAAAGTCGGGTTCTGGGCTGTTGGCTCTGTCCTTCAAATACAGGAACCCATGGCAATGTGGAGAAGTGTAACAATCAGAAGCTTTTTCTGTACTTACATATGGATGTAGTGCAACACAAGTTACCAACCGAGTAATTCCATGGATAAGTAGGACGTCATGTAATATTTCCATAATCCGTTCTGAAAGGTACTCTAGCATAAATTAAAAAGTCAAAAGGAACAGCAGTTTGCAGATGAGATCTTACCTTTCTGTCAACCGTCATTCTTCATGAAGACTGGAGGTGGCTGTGAGTTTGCCGTTGGCCTCCTCCGGCCCCCTCCAGCTCATTACCTCCTCGATCTGTTTACCTCCCCAGATATTACTACCAGCGTGGCATCCTTGCCAAGGTGGAAGGGCAGCGGCTGGTGTACCAGTTCAAGGAGATGCCCAAGGACCTGATCGTGATCGACGACGAGGACAACCAGGGCTCCGGCTCCAGCCCCGGCCACGGCACCAACCACTCCAGCTCCCACGGCAGGGCCCTCTCCCGCGGGACGTCCCGGGCCGGCCAGGGCAGGGGCGCCGGGCAGCCGGTGCTGGTGCGGCCCGTGAAGAGGGAGCAGAACGCGGGGGTGCTGTACCAGGGGGTGAACGGCCGGCAGCAGGAACAGCTCCTCCAGACGGTGCACGTGCTCCAGCCCAACCAGGGAGCGGCTGTGCCAGCCCCATCTCACGCTGTCCGGTAAGCATGTGCACCCTGCAGTCTGCTCAGGAACAGCCGGGGCTTAACATGAGGTGTTTCATCAGCTTTTTTTATTTTTATTCCTTTCCATTGTGGTCATAGCCCTGGCACTCCTGCACAGATAAGACATTTTACAGAAAAAAAACCCACCAACTGCATCGGTTGTTCATTATCTTCTTTGTGCCTTTACAGTTTAGGCACACACTTTCGTTGTAGTGCATGGGTAAACGAAGCAGAGCACTCGCCCATCATTCTGCAAATGTCTGGAGGAGCATTGTGGCTTAACTAACCTGGGATACCAGCCAAAGCGCTGATTTGTAAATGGATCAGTTCCAAACGGTGTCAACGATCCTATCAACAGGTGCATCTGCTGAAGTTCTCCTTCCCCTCCCCCTGTCTCTGCAGAACCATCAATGTGCCAGCCTCTGTACAGGCCACAGTTCCTGTGATGATGACCTCAGGGGCCCAGGGAGGGGGCACGGTCACCCTGCAGACTGTGCCACTGACCACTGTGCTGGCCAATGGAGATGCCGCCCATTCGTCCCCGCAGAGGGTGATCCTGCACACGGTGCCCTCCTCCACACCCGGGCTCAAAGACATGATGACCTTCCAGGCCACAGCTTTGAGCTCTGCAGCCTGCAGCCTGTCCGACAGCCCCCAGCCCCCGCAGCTGCTGGTCACCAGCCTGGGCTCTTCCTCCGGTGGGCTGATCAACACTACTGCCCAGTCCAGCTCCCTGAACGGCATCACCCGGCTGGTCACCGTCAATGCAGGGGGCCAGCCGGTGGTGGCCCAGCAGCCTGGCACCGTCATCGCCACTGTGCTCAAGCCCGGCGACCTCAATGGCATCCAGGTCAAGGAGGAGATCCTGGACCCCCAGTACCTGCAGTCGCTGGTGAACGGCGACCCCTCTGCCAGCTCGGAGGGGAAGGCCCTGGCGCTGGATGGGGGCGGAGCCGAACTCAGCTACCGAACCGTCATCATTAGCAGTGGTGCGCAGGAGCCCGGCCAGGGCTTTGAGACCCATGCCCATGGACCCGCGGGGCAGATGGAGGCCGGGGACCAGAGCAGCCCCACAGTTGGCCTGACCCCCGTGGAAGAGCTGGAGGTCAATGGGGAGTTGGCCCTGGAGGCCGAGCCCACATCCAAGCACCTGGCCTCCCTTGCCCAGCGCCTTGTCCCCCAGCTGCAGCTTTCGGGGTGCCAGCCTGTGCCGGTCCAGGTCGCCCCCTCCCCCTACAGCCCTGTGCAGGTCAAGACAGAGCCCGAGGACACATAAGGAGGGACAGAGGCAGTCCTCGACAGTGAAGCAATACGGAAATAATCAAAAGTTAAAAATCCGACAAGACTTCTTTTTTATAACCTGGTCAGCTGTCTTCGTGTAATAGAGGGTTCTTAATTTATTGCTCTTAAAAGCTGGTCATGTTTGGACCTTTCAGAATTCTGTTTACTTACAAATAATGTGCCTAAATTTGAACATCAAGGGATTGTTTTTTATGGTGTGAATCTTGATGGCCTGGAGTTGGCTCCCTAAAGCACACAGCACAGCTGTTAATGTTACTCTCCCATACGAAGCCACAAGAATAGCCATTTGAGGACTTCAACAGACTGCTCAGAGATGCCAGATGAAAGATTCATTGATCCAACCTCCACGGCTCCATTAGACAGGGTTTGGAGTACACTCTGCAGTAACGCTGTGCAACAGGAGGAAAGTCCCCTCTCCGTGGATGTGCTGTACTGTGCAATGTCGAGGAATGAGAAAAGCAAAACCAAAACAAGAGAAGTTGTGGAATCTCAAAAAAGATGCTGAAATTGATTTAAAAAATGCTGTTCCACTGTTCAGCCTTTTGTGTTGAATTCATTGGCAGGCCTGAGTTCAAAGAAGAAATCATTCCCATTCAAAACATAAAGACTGTTGTTCCTGAACTAATAATTGCCCTAGAGACAGTTCTAATGTTTATAATGCACAATAGTATTTTTGTATGGACAACATTTTACAGTGCTTGAGGCAAAACAATAACCAAATGATCTGTACTGTTATGACAGTACACTGGGATACTGACTAGTCTTAGTAACCCTGAGCGTTCACTCTTAGCGGTGGAGCAGGGTCAGTGAAGTGTCCCGGTGTCTTTGTGGTTCTTCGACATAGAGAGCTGTGGCCTTAAAGCATGTGTGGTTGCCATGGAAATGGGCATTTCCTGTCTTCACGGACGAATTACAGCCATGTTTGTATATAGCTATAGACTCTGATGACGGTGCAGCTCAGAAAAGATTCTTGCGAAAAAAAAGACTGATTTAATGTGTGCTGCCAAAGTGAAGACAGAGTCGGTCTCTCAAAGCTTTAAGAAATGTTAATAAAAAAGTGAGAAATATATATATTAAAATATACTAGTAAGATGGATTGTTAGGCCACAAATTTATTTATTTTTTAGTAAATTCCAAATTGTGTATTACAAAAATATATATCTTGAGGCACATGTTTTTTTATTATATATAAACATGAGAGGGGGGAAATCCATCTATGATATATTATAAGGAAGTTGAATGATGGTAAATGAATATTAATTTTTTATAAACTCAAAAAGAATTACCAAAAAATGTTTTCTTAACATTCCGTACATGCTGTGAGCAGCAGATTTTTTTATATTTTCTTACTTTTTAAACTGAAACAGGAAAACCCCAAAATAACACAATGTGAAGTGATAACTTTTCTAGGTAACGATGCCCTGTTATTGAAGTGTAAATATTCTTTGTGGTGTGTTGATATTTTTGTCTTTTGTGTTCTTCGGTTTCTATTCTTATAGCTGACACTCCCCTCCAGCTGGCCCCTGTTGGATATTCACTGGCTAGTGTCCTCTGCATCAACTGCATGCATGCACAAAATTAGGACACCACCGTAAGGTTACTGCTGGAGACCAATTGGTTATTTGCTTATTTTAATAGCTAATTTATATAAAGATATAATTTAGCTCTCTATCGAAAGAAACCTAGTTATCGCCTTCAGCAATATAGCTGGGTAACTTGTCTACATTTCTGTGTAAAGTGCCTTCTGATCTTGATTTTAAATGCACTTCCCTGTAGTTTCCACTTGTGACCTCTGGACTCCTGTTTCACTGTTCATTCTGAAGACATCCACTGGGTGGCTTTGGTCGTGCCTTTGAGATTTTTGAATACTTGAATCAACTTCCAGGTGTAACTTTTAACAACAGTGTAGGAGTTCTGTATCTGTTTTATAAATTTTTATACATCTGTGTTGGAGAACATGCTCCTCCTCATGCAGTAACATGGGTGTGCTGGTTAGGGCTCTGGCCTGACTGGGGGCTTCAAATCCCACACATTGCTCCAGTCACTGCCCTGCAGTAAAAATGGGTACTCTCCAAGATGTCAAGATAAATGACATTTTGTTGTCAGCTGGTTAAATAAAATAAATTATTCCAAATTGTTAACTAAGAGTGGCTTTTAGGTTTTATGAGCTGAATGGAACCCATTTTCTGTCTTCCTCCTGAAAGATCAGTAGGGGGCAGCTGTGAGCCCTGGGTTGGTGATCTAGTGTGATTATTATGAAGGACTGAAGGTCTAAGATTGTGAGTTTCAATGGGTAAGGGCCCTCAGTCCAAGCACTATGAATTCTCTTAAGCTCCGTTTTAAACTAGTGCTAAGTACTTGGCTCAAGACTGTACACTCTGACAGCGCTAACCCTTAACAGATGAATTTACCTGGCCTTATATCAGCATACTTCTGTACAAAAGTTGTTAGAAGTCCAAAGTTTAAAATCTCACTACTGAGAGACAAAAGGTGTTTTGAGGTCAAGCTGTTCTGTACTGGGCACCAGGAATAATAAAGAGCTTCTGTTACAAATCCGTGTGCTAACGGCCACCTTAGTCTGCTCCACCCACCTTAATCCATAAAACATTCCCCCAGATTTTTAACTTTGGCAGTCTGGCTCTCTGTGATTGGACATAAAGATGAAAAGTTCATTTCAAGTGAGAGGTTTTTAACCCTCTGCCTAGCCCCGGTGTTAAGTTCAGTCTTCCTTGCAGGCTTGACAATCAGCAAAGTCACAGTCTTGTGTTTATCTGCATTTAAGCCTGTAGCTAAAAAAGCCTAGGTATATCTGAGGAATTGTTTTTTTTTTTTTGGAGCATAATCTCAAAAAGGGGAACTTGCATTTAAAATCAAGCACTCTGAACTGTAGATGGTTAGTACTTGTTACAGCAGTTGACTCCCCTTTCCTGACAGATGTGTCCAGGTGTTAGTCTGCATGCTTGCGTTGTGCTGATGACAGCACCACCCTGTGCACCCCATGCACAGCCCTTGTCCATTGCCTTCCTTTCCTCCTGTAGTTGGGGAGGGTGTCAGTTGTTTTCTCCCTGTTCCTTTTGGTCAGGCTTTGTATTCAACCATAGAAAGTAGTGTAGTGTTTTTTTTCTTAAAACAGAAATAAAACTTATTTTGCTTTACGACAAGCAAACAAACATTACTTGTGCTTTGCAGTTTTCTTTATAAATTGTCACTTGAATAGGACCAACCGTTTAGGTTTTTGTTGTTTAATGAGGATAAGGTGGAATGTGCATTGTTAAACCCAATTATGGTGATCTCTTGAAACTTGCAAAGCAGATGGAAAGATGGATTTTTTTTCCAGATCTGGCCCAGGCTGTACCACATTCATAGAACTCTAATTTATTAGAAAATGTAAGAAATGAAAATGCTAAGAAGTCTATATTATATGATTTTCAAGAAGTTCAGAAATGCATTTTCCCACAAAACCTGGTCAATTGTAATTTCTACAAAAATGAAACTTGTTTTTCCAGGCATTTGCTCACTCTCTGCGAGTTTAAAAGCCTGTTCGAGAAGAGGGCAGATCTACTGCACCTCAACATGTGTGTGTTGTTCGCAAGCCGTCACCAACAAAAGCTGAAAAGAGAAAATGTAAAAAAGCGTTTGCGATCTGGGACACGAGGACTCTAAAAGGTGTCTTGAACTGAATAAGAAGCTTTTTCAAGAAGCCTTTTAGGGAATATTTATACTACAGCTCAACAAAGTAATGGTGTGATTTGTGTATGCACATAGACTACATTTCAGAAAGAAAAGTAAAAAACAGGAAAGTCCACATTTATTGTGAGTAAAAACAAAGCCTTTATCATGGTTGGAGGACTCTTTTGTAAACAGCATCTATTTATCTTTGCCACCACCTCCCCACCTATCTGCCTCAGTGTGGTTCGCATCATTTCCATTTCCAAGTAATTCAAGGTTGATGAGGAAAATAAAATAATAGCAGTGTGCTGTGAATGTGATTGGGTGTTGAGAAAAACTAATCGGATACATTAAGTCAACAGGCAAAATAAAATTGGCAAGGAAATGTTACTAGGTTAGATCTTTAGGGTCTCTTCAGCCTTAAAAATAGTTTTAGGAAAATATATTTCTGTACAAAAGCAACGGGTTGCTCCTAGCAACAACATGACCTAAAAGGGAGAGGGTTTACTGCACACTTCCTTCGTGAACTAGGACCCGATGGAAGATGATGACTGACATTCTTCAGCCTATAGCCTGTGTCGGCTTTATCAGCTTCCAGCAACACCTTCCTGTGAATCTGTGCTGCCAAACTGCTCAAGCACATCTGCATTAGAAGCATCCCAAAGTATACTGGGGACATGTTGGAGGAATACAGTCAACACATAGTCTCTTAAATTAATTAACTCCTCCTGTTTTGGAGGTGTGAGGTACAGAGGGTGAAAAAGGTACGTTAAACTTGCTTCTTTCAGTGAAAGCTTCTGTGGCTAAAGCCCAAGAATTCAAACAGTTCTAACAAAAGCATATGATAAAACGTGTGGTTCACAAGTAATAATGACATCTAGGAATCAGATGTTAGTGAATCATTATGGAGCAATTAAGTAAAATGTACCCCCAAAACACAGATGAAACCCAAAACCCGCCAATGCTGAAAGTAGGGACATACAGGCACAGTATGGAAATTCAGACATTAAGTTAAAAAGAGAAGGCAGCCGTTTAAAACTGTATGACGTCAATTGAACTGGAGCAGGGGCCGAGAAGGAGGAACCCGGGGGTGAAGGCACCAAAGCTGTTGGGCAGGTTGGACACCAGGAACAGCAGCAGGAGGAAATGCAGAACGCCTGCTGACTGAGCTGGAGGTAGGACGCCGGGCAGAACTGGGGCCCAGATGGAATCGGGAGCAGCGGGGGCTCCAAGAGAAAGACAGCCTTAAGGTTTGTGCAACTGGTTCACGGTTGATGCAGGGGACAGAAGTAGAAGAGAGCACAAGACAAAGAATATAGTCAGTTAATGAAAAGGAAATGGAGGAACACAAGAGCGAGGGACCAACATAAGCATCAGGGATAGCAAGCAAAAAGCAGGAAAGACCGATCCAGACTGTGAATGAGAAGTAGATGGGGACAAGGCTGAATGGAAGCTCCTGGGCATGGCAGTAGGGACATACCAGGGATCCTTTTGGTAACTGGCATCTACCTGCGTGCTGGGTGATGTCATCCTGGGAGGCATAAGTAGGCTGGGAGACATGCAAGCACGTTATGAGCCTCATTGAAGAAAAAACCTTGAAGAAAATGCCATATTTGTGGAGCATCTTTGCAATTTAGCTAGAGCCCAGTCATTGATGTGAGGGATTGCAGTAAAAGGAATTGTTTGAGTTTGAGTGTTCTTTGAGCAGATCTGCAAATCCACAGCAAAGATGGTTATTTTGAAAAGGAACCAGCTGGGAGTTTCTTTCCTTCTGCCTGATTTATTGTCCAGTTTAAACAGATTCGTAGAGACACGCATATAAGTTTTCTTTTACTTCTGTCGTTTTTGATTGTTTTAGATGTTTTTGTTTTATTCCATCATAAGGAGTCCACAGTCCACCTGTTGAATTGTGCACGTGCGAAAATGAGAGATGAGCACCATATACAGGTTTTTTGTAGTTTGGAACATGGTCCACACATAAATGAATTATGGCGAATGTGAGGCAGGCAGCATATTTTTCTCTTTTGCTCTGTTATTTGGAGCATGGTCCTCATATTGAATGAATGCAACAAAAATGTGAGATGTGGACAAAAGAGATGTAGTGAAATCTGGTAATGATTGTGATAAAACAGCTGGGTAAGACTAGCCTGTCTGTCGGTGTACCTCCCGAACGGTAGTTCACTTTCCTGGAGTTGGAGATCATTAAAAAAACAGCAGCATGACTGGGGTGGTGAAAGAATGGATAACCAAAAGTTAAGACCAGAAATGAATTCTTTCTGTGTCCATCAATCCAGACACCAGAGCACGCAGAGGGAACCCGTGCAAACACGAGGAGACCATAGAAACAAGTTAATAGAGTGGGACCCAGGGCCCAGCACTGTGAGGTAACAATGCTGCCCACCGTGCCACTAGGTCACCCGCTTTCTGTATCCCCATTAAAAACATAAGCTGATTATATTATACAATATGTTTCACAATTTGTTTAGGAGAAAAAACCTGCAACAAAAAGGCTAGTAATTACTAGGCTAGTAAAGTTCGTACTGCTTTGTGCAATTATTCATAAAAATATATCCAAATTAAACTTGCCAAGTACCGTTTTCATGCTCAAAAAGGAATATCGTCTTTTCCAACTTTATGGTTGTTCACGAGTAGAGCCACAAGGTGGCACTACAGCATCATAATTCCCCCAGTCCGACGCCACACATGAAAAATGAATCGGGCTCAGAGCTCACCATGCACACCAGGAGCTAGGGGCCTGCTCTTTGTATGTACTGGACTCCCCTAAGGAATGTTGCGACCTGTAAAAATACAATAAATAAATTATATTTATTTTTTTAGAGGACAAATTCAGTCATCCAATAGGTGAGGTCTCTCCTACCACAAAAATTCCTGTAACTTGCTTTTTGGTAGCAATTCCAGCAGACAACAGGATTCAGGAAGAGACCAAAGCAAGTCTAACTTGATGACAGTCAGAGGGTAACATTATAATACCAGTAGAACAAGACATTATAATGTTGAGGATTTTTGTATCATATAAGAAATGAGATGTTTCCTGTTTCTTTGTGCACACAGAGTCTATGAAGGGCTTTGTGTGCTCACAAAATCTGTCTGCAGCGCAGGCTGAGCAAAGTTCAGTCAGCTTTATGCAAGATTTCATGGTTTGAAACAAGACAACAGGTGGATTTGCTTGATGGAAAGACTTGTAGGAGCCTGGTTATCCCACTGCAGGGGTTCTGTTCTCACAAATTTGCCAAACACTTATCCTGATCGGCTGCAATCTAATAATTCTGGACATGGAAGGTGTCAGTTTCTGCCACAGAATGGATTAGAAGAGTGCAGACTGACAATGTGAAAATAAAGCCAGAACAATGGGTTCCAATCTGGGCCCCCGTCAGTACTGCGTAAGGAAGAGTTGAGCCTGATTTCTATCACATGCCCATTATTCTTTTATATTGTCCCTGAAGCAATGCTCAGATTCCTGCCAAAATCACTACTCTTTGCCAGTTCTTTTGTGTAATTAATGCTGCACTTGTATGCTATTTAAATTAATGAGCATTTAGTATCCTGGGATTCAGAGCAAATAAAATATACTATAATATTTAAAACACTATTGTGGAGAGCTGATATCAGTTCCTGAAGTTTATTAAAATGTATCTTGATCAAAGCAGTCTTAAGAAAATTCTCCATTGAAGATATCTGTTTAAGTGTTATGGATATAAGGGTAATATGTCTGATGCATTAAAGATGCACGAAAAAGAAACAGAAGTGTTCACCATCGCAAAAACAGGACGAGTATCTCAAGCAGTCATGAGAAAATGACAGAACAGTATAAGAACTGCTGAACTGTGAAAGCACATCACAAGCCAGATTCACACTGAACAAGCCAAAGCAGAAAAAAGAGTTCTCATTATGCCTCTTGCTAAACTAACTCTTTTGTCCTTTGTGCTGAGCAGATTGCTTTGTTCTGCGCAGAAGACAATCTTCAGTTCCCTCTAATAGCATTTGATATTTCCATCATCTCACTAACTGTATTGCGATTTTGTCTTTACGATCAACATCTGGTTGGCTCTAACAACAAGCTATCAGGCTTTTGTTAAAGACATTCCATGTGCTGTTTGAACGCTCTATTGGCAATGAACTCAGGCAGCTAATCTAAAGCGCCTATTTATCAGGGAGTCCTTGCTGGATTGACAAGGAATGATAGATGGGCAGTTGCTGTTATTGGAGCACCATGCGCACACAATAGCCAGCTATACTGTACTTGTACCTGGGCATCCACTATTGTCCACCATGCACAACTTCAAGATACTAGTTTTTCCACTCATTTATTTCAGTTTTCTCTTTTACACATTCAAACGTTGCTGGCATTCATAGATTAAGACAAATTTTAACAGCAACGAATTAATAAAATTAAGAGAACTAGTAGACATGTACAGTATTTCTTTAGGAGTAGAAAGCTTCTTGTTTGTTCAAAATCATAGACGAGTATAATTCATAGCTAAGAGTGACTCCAACACTGAGACTCAGGCTTAGGCCTGTAGTCACAGCATTGCCATTGAGGAATATTCAAATGATTATTTAATTGCTTTAAAAATATGAATTCCAGTCTTCAAAGCCAATAATGCAAAGCACTGATGTGTCAAGTGAACGCTTAGCTGGTATTGATCTTTTTGGTGAGTCAGTATTTTACTGCTAAATCGGTGAAGATTTAAAATCCATTTTTAATTTCCATTATTTTTTTAAATAAGATGAAACGGGTGTGATTATGTTCAGGGTCTAGGGTATTGAATCAACCTGGTGCAGTTGGGTAGAGCTGACTCTTTGTTTCCTCACTCATGAAATCCTTCCACGCCACCCAGGACTTGAGCCTGACCTCAATAGCAGGGTGTGCATCATCCCAACCTCCTGCACACAGAAATAACAAGCAACAGGTCCATTTGCAGTACCAGTCTGTTTGGACCTTGCCTGACTGGCACCAGCTCTAAAGTGGACGCTCTGTGACACTGACCCAAAGAAAGGTCTTCTGGGCTCTCCAGACGTCAGTGAGACCGATGTATTTGCCAAACATGCACAAAAAACCTGCAGCTGTTTCAATGCATTTGGACATTCTGACCTGCAGATGAACAGCTGAAGGGTGGACAATCAGATGTCTATATTATGTGAAGCCACACTATAAAATATCACCATCCCAGGTTCTGTGGTGTGAAGCCAGACATTTTTCTGTTTTGCTTTAACATTTCAAAGATTGTACATAAATAACTTTCTCTCTGCTCTGTTTACAATCACACTGCATTCTGTACATAAAAATGATTGTGTTTAAATATTGGAAAAGAGCCTCATATTAGAGATTGAGAGAAAGAGAAGAAAAAGGATAAATTTCAAAATCTTTCCATTCAAGATTGTCTTTGAACTGTGTTTTTCTTTCTTTTCTTCATAGATGAAAGGAACGGCTTCGTTTTTAAACGCACACCCATGCTTTTCTATTCCTGTTTTTTTTTTTTGGGGGGGTCATTTCACATTCTTATTCTAATTTTATTTGCAATTACATACACCACCCAAATGAAACCCCTCATGGGGAGAAAATACACCCCCAAGCACATTTACATTTCAAATAAATCAAAATTTGATTGAAATTATTTATTTCAAAATTCCATTTGTATGGTGGGGGATGTCTCCATTGTCGTCGGGGAATTTCCTGGGATTTTGTCCCCAGCACTGCTGGTAAAACATGCCCACACACGTGCACGTGCATTAGGGGGCGCTGCCGAAATTCTTGAAAGGAGGGGGGAGGCGGCAATGAGGAGGAAGAATTGCACAAGCCAGCTGTCGGGTCTCAAAGTGACCACCAGCCACAGAGCAGGACGAGCCTGATGCCCTCCTGGCATTCGTAATGTGAGAGAGAGAGGGAGAGAGAGATCTACTCCTGTACCAGAGGCGTGAAACTCCAGGAGCAGCCCTGTGACAGCTTGGAAATTTATCACAGAGAAAAACTTAATAAATAGATTTTTACACCACAGATCTGCATGATTAAACCTGTAATTTATTAGAGCATGCTAATGTATCACATTAAAAATACTGTAAAAAGGTACAGTTTATCGCATTTCATAATTTATTTCACTGAGGCTATTTTTTTCTGAGTTGACAAGGAGGGATAAGAGAAGAGCGAAGGGCCCAGAGATGAATGTGCATCACAGAGGGGGGCCTGCCAGTCAAGTCCCTGCAACACCACAAGGGGTAATTGAGTGGCCTGAAGAGCTCTCATACCGAACAAGCAAGTTAATAGTGTTAATATATAAAAAATGCCGACTTACTCAGTAATTATTAGGGTGAAAAGGCTGAATTTCACTCAGAGGTATATTCACATAAAAAAGCAGACTTCCCTGTTCCTTGTGTGTTATAATGGTGATATCTCAGGCTACAGGCTCAGAAAGGAAAGCGGACATGTAAAACAAAAAACGATTTTAAGGAGAAGCAGTGCCGTGAAAAAAATAAAACAGGAAGTCAAGCCAATACAAAGACATGTGTACTAGAGATACAGGAAAACAGAATAAAAAGGGACAGACAATAATGAAAGTGATTAGGCAGTGGAAACACCTAGTCTAATTGTCAGGGCCCAGATGGAGGACACTGAACCTATTGTACAAGAAAGTAAGGCTCTTGGCATAAAAACACCAGCTGCAGAGCCAGGAATCTTGAATGATTATTATTAAATTCCAAAGACTGTAATTTTGTAATGCAATGACTTGAATTTCTTTTGTGAAAGTTAAATAAGGAAAAAAAATACATGATAAGAAATGGTTAAATTAGAATAGGAATATGTTTTAACATAACCTGTAAACATAAGTAACAAAATGCTACAAAACGCCTAGTCTAACTTCAAACATACCTCCCCCCTTATAAAAGCAGGTGAACCCTGAAATTCTAGGCACGAGTAATCAAAACAATAGTTCACGTTGTTGATGGTCTGGGACAATCCTGTCCAGTCCAGAGTGTAGATGAGCTTCACGCAGGAGGACCCTGTTCAGACCCTTCCAAGCATGCGAGCAATCCACCAGTTGCATGGCATCACAATCCTGCAGATCACGACGCCCCCGTGGTAGTAGTAGGGGTGGGGCATGTAGCCACCCAGGGGCTGATAGTAACGCTGGCAGAAACGGTAACCACGGCGACAGTGCTGGCAGCAGACCCCCGTCTCGTCCAGTCTGTCGTCCAGCTCGATTCCGTTCTCCCTCTGTGAGGAACAGCAGACACAGGGCAGCTCAGAGAACAGGTGTAAGGAGGTGGCTTAACGTTACCCCGTCATGCTATAAGAAAGCTCAATGTCTCAACTGAGGGCAGGACGGAACTGACTCGACTGTTTCTGAATTAAGTGTTAATCAGCAGAGGGGGTATGAGTACGAATTGTGCAGAAATACAGCGTGTCTTTCAGCAGCTGGACTTCACACAGCGGGAGAGAGCACATGGCCATAACACACTGCACTGAAGCCACTTAGCACTCTGATCATTTTCTCTTTAGATCTCTTGATGGATCAGGACAAAGCCTTCCCTGACAGCTGCTTGATATCAGAGTTTCTGAAAAAAATGCTCAGCTTCCCAAATTTGCTTAATTTGTGTTTGTTGTTCACAATGTACAGTATGCTGTGTTTGAACAACAGCTGTCTTAAGCTCGTAGTTCTGTAGGTATATTAAAAATGGTACCTTTTATTTGCTGGTACAGTATTTTATACAGTATTTAGACACCTTTTACATGTTGTCTGAACCAGTCTCTTCTGGAATCCTAAAATGAATCTACTGTCAGATTTACTTTGCTTCCTGTATCTTGGCCCACATTTTGTATTGCTTTCACATCTTTAGTGCTCCCTGACAATCTTCAGTAGAAGTGTTTGTTCACTTGTTTTTCCTTTTCCTCATGAATAGAAATGCATGTCAGTGGTCGGGCATGCTTCTCTGGGCTGCATTTCTACTAACCTCTTCACTGCAAGTCTAGAGCCCACGTGACCACTGCATCTCACCTGCAGTGCAACTGCATCATACCGTATCATAACAAAAGTGATCGTAACTGTATAATAACATGATTAATTGAATGCAGAAACACTCTTTTGTAGGCTGATCGCTAAAGATGCCCTGCTCTTCTTCTGTAGTTGGCTTTTTTTTGTTACATGATAGGGTCCATGAAAGACTGTAAATGATATGGATGAACTGTTTGTTAACCACACCTGCTTAACCACTATAATCACTGCATCACACGGGGAGAATGAGGGCCAGAGCCTGTTCTTTCCTGTACAGCTTCTGTGCGTCCTTTGGCTATCATGCGCTGGGTTTTCTACAGCGCCCAAGAGGATCCTGTGCACAACACAGGGGAGACGCGCATCTCTCACTCATGTGAGCGATAAATGCATGAAGTGAAGAGCATTTTCAATGGCTCAGGCCTCAGGTTCTGGGAAGTCGCAGCCAGCAGGCCAGCCCAGGCAGGAGTCAGCAGCACCTGTGCTGCAGTGCTCCATGTGCTGTCTGACCAACGGGATGAGTCACCTGGAGCTCTCTACAGTGGAGCACGGAAAACCAGAACTGGGGGCACCGGGCTCGAAGGGGCAAACTGATTATCACGAGAGCTGCATTGACTCTTGTCTCCAAAACAATTCAGATATTGACAGACAGCACCCATTGTCCATGGCATGTCCTCAGTAGCCCCTCACACACAGCCACTTACTCTCTGAATTAGCAGGTGGAGATTCACATGGACCTGAGACACTGGGATGATGATATTGTTGGGATACCAGAGCAGACTTTGGGACAGAAGCTCTGGTGGCATTTCTTCAGTGTTTCCTGTGCTGCAGGAGGAGGCAGAGAGGTAAAGTCTGTGATCTAACCTACAAGGTGCACAACCAGCTGTGCAATCCCAACCAAGCTGCCACACTTCCACACACAGAGGGAGGAGGAACTCGGCAGGTCAGTGTCAGTATTCATGCGGACGGCCAAGCCTTGACTCGCAACTGCAGGGACACACTGGCCTGTCCCCGAGGCAGCAGCAGGGACACACTGGCCTGTCCCCGAGGCAGCTGCAGGCAGCAGCTCTGCCACTGTGCTGAAGGAGAAGAACAAACACGATGCTTCGGGGGGGGTGGGGTTGGGTGAGGGGGCATGAGCAAGGCGTCCAGAGAATAACGGCGACGTTTAACCTTAACACTGACACCTGAATCAAAATGGCTTTTTTATGAGAAGCTGGAGCAAGTAACAGCATGATGGTAATGCTCTTGATCTGGGTTACCGAGGCATCAAACACGACACAGAACGCCCTTGACCTTTCTTTCTATGACGCTAGGAACACATCTCGGCACTCCCAGCTTTCCTGTCTGATCCCAGGTTGCCCACTGAAGTTTTGTCCGGGGCGTTGCTTTCAATTAAAGTGGTCCTGGCACCGCTGGATGAGAGGATAATTGCACAATATTTGTTATTGCTGGCAGGACCCCCGTTCCCTGCCTCCCCCTCCTGCTCCATCCCCAGGCCCCACTATTTCTTCATCTCCAGCAACAGACTGAGCTTTGTCTTCCTCCCCAGCAGGCTGTCTTTGACATTGACTTTAAGTGAAATGGACAATCCTAAAGCAATTAGCAGAATAATTATTGTGTAACGAGAATCCTTTGTTTTGCTCTTACGGGAAGGGCCTAGAATTTTATGAGGGTTAAATGAAACCAGAACGCAGTGTACATTGGGTAGAATTATCTGCTCTTCTCTGGATCACTGTGCACATTCACACAAAGCTCTGTGATTTAAGTAGGATTGAAAGGCAGGCTTGCATCCAGAAACAGTAGCCTAGGGCTGCACGAGAAAAGCTGTACTACAGTCTACCTCCAGCAGGAGGCGATCAAAAACACAGTTCTGACTGTAACATAAGATTAGATCACTTTATTAGCCATATACAATTTCCTGCATTAGGAATTTGTCTTTTCGCATACCCTAGCTTGGTTGCCACGAGACACAGACACACAGACTGGGAGAGAAGTTTGGGGTCAGAGTGCAGAGTCAGCCATTGTACAGCACCCCTGGAGCAGCTGGGGTTAAGGGCCTTGCTCAGGGGCCCAACAAAGTAGGACTCCTCTGCCAGCTGTGGGATTTGAAATGGCAACCTTCCAGCCACAGGCGCAGATCCTGAGCAACAATGCTACAGCTCCACCCGAAGTGCACTTCTTAATGCACACTGCAATTCATCTGGCACATCTTAATGAGCAAGGATCTATTGCATTTATATATTACTTTTTATATAAAAGGGCACAATTAATATATTTAATCATTTATGATAGCGTGATAAATATTTCCAGTGGGAGTGGCTAAGCTGTTATTGATACATATTTGCATTTTATGTCAATCTGGTACTCAGTTATTCTACTTTGAAAACATATGTAAACAACGTTCTGCCACAATGGATGATTTAATCAGAGAGATGAAGGCATGCATATGTATTACAGAAAAACAAGTTATTCATAATTCAGCCTGCTTTGGGGGGAAAGTTGGAGGCTTAAAGCTGAAAGTAGGTTCAAATGATGCCAGAAAACAACTGAATCTTCCTTTCATCAGAAAATTATCAATGTATGCTGCCCTTTAAAATTCAATACCAACTCAAATCGAATCACTCTTGCATTTACATTTATAATGGCTTGTGGTAGCCAACAGAACACAGTACCTTGGGAAATTTGTCCAACTGGTAATAAACAAGCAACATTAATTAATGATAGGAGTAATTATTTCAGCATTCATTGTGTTTTCAGTCACACATTAAAATATGTGCCAGTCCCTGGAGCATAATCTTAAACATTTAATATGAATGAGCCTGTCATGTAGAAAACTTTGTCAGGACCATTCAAAATGAATTCATCAGCACATAACAAGTGGAATGCATTTAAATGATTAATGCTTACTTTTAAATTCTGCTGTTTCTATAAAATTCTGCCCCGGAAAACAAACAAACATCTCACACTTTGAACAATACAATGAGCACCAGGGGCTGTGCAGGAATCTAGAATCTGGCTAGCTTTTACCTAAGAGGAAAATTAGCCCTCGGTTCCGGTTTGCCCAGGAGAGACAGTGGTTTAATCCGGATCCTAGTCTGCAGTGCTCCCATTTGGAAGGCCCATCTAGCCTGGGCTAAACTGTGAGGGTCACATTGAGGCTACTCAGCTACCTCTAAACACTCCGGTTAGGGCTGTATTTTCAAGTTGGACAGCTGAGCAGATGAGGGCCCAATCATCTAGGAAGCGTATCTGTGGAATGTAGGTCAAGGTCCGTGGTGCAGTTTCTCTAATGCGCCGGGATGAGAGCTATTCAGTTTGAAAGATGTCCAGGAATGCTCCACAGCTCGACGCTTAAGCATGGCAGCTGTGGCGAAAGGTCAGCCTTATATTTCCCGCAACCTCTGTCACCAGAGTTTTAATGATTATTTATGAAAAGTGCTCAGCGGGGAAGACTGCTGCGAAATATTAATGCTTCCCCATGGCCAGCCTGCAATGGCATTGTGAGATGAAGGCAAGAACTTAGAGCTTTTAGGAAAGGTCAATGATACCTGCCTTCTCACCAGCCTTCACAAGACACTTGCTGAAGTGTCCAACACAAAATCTGACTGCTCTACACCAAGCATGCACGATATGCATCATAAAGTACTCACTTTTGTGAAAGGGGATCTCCTTCTTTCCACTGTAATCATACATTTCCATTTCACTTCTTATTGTTTCGTTGTGTCTTTGCACTTTAAACCTAACAAAAAGTCTAGGGCATCTAACACAGAAGGTGTATTTTAATGCTGTAAAATTCTAAGTATATATCTCAGAGTGCAGGTACAGTACCGTAGCCAGGAGACAAAAACAGGTCTGGACAGAGAACCCAGAGAGTGTTCCACCCGGGCCCAGCTGCTGAATTGGGGTATTCTGGGTCTGCTCACTGTGCTTGGCGCCTGCACCCCTGGGTGACCTGCTTTCTCTGAGCCCAGCAGAGGGGCTGCAGCAGGCTGCTCTCCCTCTAAATGTATTCACTTGTTATTTTTAACGGCTTTGCTGCTCAGCTGCTGCCACAAAACAGGACAGTTTGGGGAAAAGGCAGATTCTTTGAAGAGGAAAAACCATCAAGGCTTCAAAAGGCAATATTAATTAACTTGTGTGTCACAGCCAGTGGAGTCATCTGATAGATAAGATGGATCTGATCTGTTGTTTTCCCTAATTTCTCCAAAGCCCCATGTCTTAATGCACCGTTATTGGGATTACAATAAAGATATTCACTATAGTGTTTATTTTCTTCTTTCCACTATGGGTAAAACTGGGTTTGTGAGTTTAGGATTGGGCAATCTGCTGATCAAAGCTTTGCAGCATCTCTGAAGCAACACCTACCCCCCCCTTGAAAAAACAGGTGCCTCCCATGATAAAACTGAATTACTTAGAAGTACATTTTTTTAATTGGATTAGCGGCATTTGCAATTGCACTTGTTAATATTGTAAGCGTGTTTTTGTCCTGTATGTACTGACTTTTAGAGTTGTGTGTGCGCCTGGAACACAATGTTGCCACTGCTGTTGTGCTGTATCTACCAGTTTCTTACTTAAACCTAAGGTGCTTGTTAATTAAGGAATAATTAATGAATCCATTCATTCATTAACTAATGACCTGAGGAAAAAATGCAGCAAAGCTACTAGTACCCTAGAAGAATGAGACAGCAGAAATTTTCCTACTAAGGAGAAATTTGAAGAAAACACACCTTGCTATACAGTACTATTCCCTTGTGTTTAAGACAGTTCATTCTGTAATGTCATTAATTGTTTAAAATTTTGCTCATTTTTAAAAAGGACCCATTGACAAGTATTTTGCACCATTAAATCATTGTTTTTTAAACTTTCCCTTCTGTGGTAAAACAGGACATGAGGAGAGCTATCACGTGTCCACTCCCAGGTTGTCGACGCTGCATGGGTAAACGGAGAACTCACGTAGTCATTGACGTCCAGGTAATCTGTGACATCACGGGCCTGCCGCCGACCTTTCACCCCAGCCTCAGACTCCTTCTCCACCTCCGCGTCCACAGTGTCGTGGAGCTTGGCGTCTGTGAGGGCAGGACACAGTGGTGAGAACATCTTCACAGGTGATCTTTAAGGAAAACATAAGGCTCCAGAGTTATCTCACCCATAACACTCTCAAGCTCAGAAACATGAAACCAAGCCCAAACAAAACTGGGGTATTAATATTATGTGATTCTGTCTCATTTTCAGAACCTCTTCTTTGATCCAAATGCAAAAATAATTTGAACAATGGAGATACAGTACTTTCTTCCTAGAATTAAGAATCTTAACAGTATGTCTTAAAGACATGTGGTAGAAACATTTAATTTATTGTAAGAGAAAGGTAGATGCATATATGGTATAACAGTACAATATGGCTACAGATAAACCACCTCCTTCCCTTTTTTAAGAATAATTATTATTATAATTATCTGGAACTGTGTTTTTCATACAACATAAATTCTAATGCTCCTGAGAGGCAATTAACATGCAACTTATGCATTAAAGGAAGTGTAGGCAGTGATGACAAATTTGTGAAAAGATGTCCAATAGAGACCTGGGAAGCTATCAGGCTGACCTTCCAAAGCAAAAGCAACCTGAATGATGACAACAGATAGTGGCCTGAGAGATAACCAGCCTCTGTGGCCCGTCAGAAACCAGACACGCACCTCTCTGCCTGACAGCCCTGTGCTGTATGCTAATGAGCTAATAATGTCCTGTTTAAAACACTAGCAATCAAACAGCTTCATCAGGACGTTCCCTTGAAAAGCTTGTGCAGGGGGTTCCAAAAAAGAAATCTAAAGGCTGCTGCAAGGTGATTTATTGTTAGGTGGCCTGTAAGCATGGTGCTCCCTTTCGGTCTTCTGTCGCGTGGACGCGTCTGCATGTGTTTTTCTCTATTCGTCCGAATGTTTCACTCAAAAGCCCACCTTCAGCATGCCAGAGAGAAATTTCACTACAGTGTGGTGAACTACAAACAAAGAAGTTTACTTCTGTTACGACCCCAAGTGTCTAGAGGTAAAGGGGTGTAACATTTAAGATAGTTTTTGGATGCAGGTGGGTTCTGGTGAGGGACTTAGGAACATGATAACAAGTGTTGGTGCCAAAAGTGATTATTTTAAGGTGAATAAGTGACTGGTACGTAATAGGACACACTAACACACAGGGAGGGGGAACTAGAGCGGTGCCACAGAAAAGAAAATAAACAAAATGGAGCTCACTAAGAAAGTGAGGGAAAGCGGACCTGACTACAGAAGAAAACCTGAAACACTCGGCCTTCGGCGTCTTCAACACCCTAGCTAACCTTCACTGACTACCCAAAACCATACAAGACAAACGGCACTCACTCATACTAAACAAGTGTACCAATACAGAAATCCACCATGTGTGCAGAATGTACCCAACAACCTTAACTAAACCAATACACAAAAGTTCACAAGTGAACTACGAATACCAAGGGGAAAACGAGACTAGACACAAGTAACAGGGTACAAAAGAACACAGAGATTGATACAACACATCTGGACAAGGTAATTGCTAAACAAGGATAAACACAAACAAACAAATGAAAGTACAAGGAGACTAACACAAACCAACAAAAGCCGAAGCTATACAAAAACACGCACACACGAAGCGAAACAAAGCAGAAGCAAAAACCAAAAGCGAAGCCAAACGAAACCGGAGCTGAGCTGAGCTGACCTGGACCAAAGTCAAACGAAAGGCCCATTTATTCTGAAAACCTCCAAGTTATATACTGAATAAGCTTCATTCTGATTGGCCAAGAAGCTGATTGATGATGACATAATACGGAAACAATGGTGTAATGATGGACCAATGGGGGAGGGAGAACAATCAAGGTCAGGAAGTGTGGAACATAGCAACAAAAACACACATGGACCACACACTGGGACATAACAACTACACTGGTTAAATTTAGTCTAAATAGATGAAGATCACATTTGTGTAGAATCAGCAGAAACAAGTTTTATATACATAATAAAAACTGCCTTTTCTTTTTCAGTTATTTATCTGGCTAACATTACATTATGCTCATACTGGATCAGATGAAACATTCCACAATTATTAAAAAAGTCTCAGGCGAAAAAATGTATTCCATGATGAAATGGGTTATTTGTCTACCTGATTTCTTCTTGATTTAGAGCACAAACAGAAACCTTCCAGACAGTCCTGCCCTGCATGGAGGAGACCTTACCGTTCAGAGATGAGGGGTGGATCCAGTGCACGGGCAGGTGTTCACACATTTCTGAGATTCTGGAGCTGAGCAGGACAGCTCGGTTCTCAATGGGCTCCTCTGCAGGGACCCAGACCTGTGAGTCTTCAAACTGCGTATCTGCAATCTCAGTGCCCTGCCATCAAGAAAGACATGCAGAGAATGGAGGAAAACAGCCCTGCCTTCATTTCTCATCTCTTTGGTCTGTCTTCAGAAGGCTTCACCTGTCAAAAGCAACTCAGCTAATCTTTTTATTCCGAGCTTTACTCATAGAAAAATAAAATTGCAGTTCATGTTTCCGTTTCTCCAAGCACTGTAATTTTACATAGAACTTTCAAGTCACACAATGTGCTCATCTGTCTCTCTGTGGTGTTCCATGTTGTTTTACAACAACAATGTATTTTATAGCAGCTTTAAAAGCAAGCATCTCAAAGCATTTCACACTACATAAAAACACATTACACAATAAAATATAATTAAAGAAAATTACTAAGCAGATAAAACAAAACAGATATGAAGACAATTTATCACCTTACTTTATTACAACTCCATACTATATACTACTTAATTATCTTTACCACTGTACAATGCAGTAAAGCTCTTAAAGACAAGACATACTGTATGTATATAAGACATAATGTATAATATAATACATAATATAAGACATAGTGTATAATACTCCTTAGAAATTTTAGGGACTTCCTCAACAACTCAACTTCCCTGCCAGCTCTGTGTAATTAATTATACCAGTAACTACAGACCCTTCAAAACACAATATGGATGCAAAAGTGACAGAAGATGCTTAGTATTGCCGGACTTTCTTATGAATGAAACCATTACAGTTTGTTTAGTGACTGTAACAAGAGGAAGGCTTTTGTCAGTATTTAAAGTGCACAGCCCTCAGGCCTAACAAACTACAACACCCCCCTCCCTCGCTCTCACCCAAAACCTGAACACATTAATACCCTTAATTTATGGAGACTTGAGTTCATGAGCTGTAAAGTAAACTATTATTACTTAATGATTGTGAATGCGTGTCATTTCCATTTAATAAAGATATATGAAGCTACTTGGGTAATTTATTCATATATAGTACAAATAAATTTGTGTGTTGCTCATTTAATCAAATGCATATGCAAATGTTGTTCATGTACCAATGTTAATTAGTGTATGAAACAGAAAACAGTTCTCTTGACAAATGTTTTCACTAGATTCTTTTCTTGGAGTCTAAAGCTTAATTGCACATTAGTTAAGCTTGATATAAAGCCTTGGAGCTAAACTGTAAATCTTTAGAATTTATATTAAACTATTGTATCCAAATGATTTTGCTGTTGCTTTAATAACAGTGCATTTCCTCCCCGGAAGCTTCAGAGAGAGGCGATATGAGAAGAGACTATGATAATAGATGCTGCTGTTCCTGGGGAGGCTATACTGTGTGTCTAGCAGGGGTGCACAGTGAGCAGAACACGGCAGGCACTGCCGGTGCAGGTCTGAGCTTTGCGGCTGCCTGCCTCTGGCCAGGATTAACCCAGCAGTGGTGCTCAACACTGTGGGCCCTGCAAGGGTGGTCCGGGCTCGAGTCAGGGGATCTCTGTCGCAGTGGCGCCTGCGAGCTGGCAGCGGGGGCGAGCTGTGGCCCCGGCTGTGATGCCAGATCTTGAACTTGCGGTGTGAGTAAGAGGTGGTTGCCCACACAAGTGCTCTGTGGGAACACTGCGTTGCTGGTGCTGATTGAGCAGCTGTACTAGTGAGCTGTTTCCAAAGTAAGGCAGGTAAAAGGAAACGTTTGGCCAAACTCAATTTGGAAAAATAAAACAAGAAGCATGTACAAGAACAACATGGAGCATGTAGTTGCTCTGACTGCCTCAATATTTCACCAGTCCCCAGTGGTTTTTCTTGCCTTTGATACTTTTACCCATTATAACAAACAAAAGGTGGTTATGAATACATATCTGCTTGCAGCCTGCGCTGTTTTCCTTTGCTGGAGAATTTAAAAACCTATAGAAAAAAAAGTATTTTAATTGCCCTTTTTAACTGTTAAAGGAAATAAAGTATTCCTTACAAGTAAATAGAGGTTATGACACAGATTTCAGTACAACATGACTTCAGCTTCAGAGTTGAGAAATGAACCAATAATTTGTAAGAGAGGATGCCTTGGGGGAGTTGTGAAGGTCATTACTCAAGAGTGGAATAAAAACTGTGTACACCAGAGCAGCCCCAATATTGCATGATAATTAGAATTTTATAGGCTGCAAACACCTATGAGGTTCCTTGGTGTTGACGGTGTTATACTGAGTGTGGCCCCAGGCATTTTTAGGAACAGGACCTCCTCTCACATGCTTTTCCTGGTGAGAAATAGTTCTGCTCATGCACAAGGAAAGAATTTAAACACAAAACATGGGCAGTACACTCTAACACTTAATGGTGTTTTATAACCATTAATATATTTCAATATCTCTTTCAGGAAGCTATATTTAAAGTATATATCTGATATAGAAAATTAATTAACAACTGGGTCTGTTAAGAGTGTAGAGTGCTAAGGAGGAGCAAAGCTATTTACAGTAATACTTGATGTCCAGTTGCAACCTGCCAGACTCCTTCATCACTGACCGTGACTGGAGCAGCCACCTAATAATTTTGAGCACAGTTTGAGATGTGGACCTTTAAAAGTGAAAGTGGCCCCTGTGTGAAATCTTTATATACAGTCTTCTCTACAAATACTGGCTATGTACAAATACTTCCTCAACAACCATGTGATTCTGTGTTTTTTTGCTGAGAAAGTGAACAAGTCTGTTTTCTCTTAAATTAAACTCATAATTAAAGAAAGGTTTAGATGAACGATTTGTTTAATCACGCGGGTAATTAGCCTGTTCGAAAGGGTGTGATACCTGGAGTTCAGCTGCGCTCTGCCAGCTTCTCTTCAGGGTTGTATGAGGTTCAGATTTCCAGGTTTGTGAAAGATTGAGGGCCTCCTTTTCTCCAGTAAGGGTTGTAATTTAATGGTGATTTGTTCTGTTTTGATGATTTACAAAGTCAAGGCAACCATATGGATTCCCGTGAAGCAGAAAGTTTGTATTTATAAATGTTTTGTACCTGTTTTGCAATTGAGTGGATTTCAGAGATTTATCTTAGGTACAGAGTAAACTAGTTTTGTCTCCAAAAAAACTTTCCCATGCTGTACAACCATATGCTGTACTTGTAATGACCTGTATTTACATTTTGCTCATCCTGATATTTACTTTTAAAATGTAGTTAGCTCTCTTTAGAATTTGTAAATCCAGTTTAATTTTAGACATCTGAAGTATAGTAAAACATGAATATTTACTTTCAGCCAAAAGATAAAGGAACTGGAATTTGACAAACCACAGATGGCAAATTTGTAGCTTTCTCTGAGCAAGAAACAAAAAAAGAAAAAAGGAAACTTGCTCAAATGTGAGGGCGTGTAAAAATCAAACACAAGTCAAGACTGCCAGGACCTTTGAATTAATTTGCACTGTTTCAGTGAAGATGCCAAAGCTGAATTGAAAAGAGACAAAGTTTGTGAGGGGTCCACGTGAGAGAAAGTGCCTTTGCTTCCTCTCAACAGTTTCACACACAACACATTCATTCCTTCACAGCAAAAAGCACCAGGGAGCTCTCAGGTTAGATGATGAGAACCAAGTCACCTGTTGCTCCAGCTGCTCAAAATCCTAATCGTTCCTGACGTTATCTTTTTCAAAGCTGTCAAATACAGCAGATCACAAGCAAACTCCTCTTTACACATTTTGCCTCCTGCACCCCTCCTCCAGCCCACGTCCTGGCCCTTGGTTCACTCCTCTGTCTGCAGGGGGGCCCCAGCCTGCTGGTCCTCCGGACAAGGGGACGACACTCAATAAACACTGCCTCACATCTAATTCTAGGGTGTTGTGAATTGCGCCGTCTGCTGCTCTCGCAGATCTGAGCTTTTCTCTCTTGACTGCTGTGGATGCTGCTTATGTGACTGAGCTGGCAGTGAGGCTTTCTTTCTGTGTTTTGGACTGTGTCCCTGCTTTCCTGCTCAAATTTCGCATCTTGGCTCTTAGACAGTCCATCACTATCTTTGTCAATGTGTCCCTGAAAGTTTTCCTTGTACTTACATGCCTAATTTGCAGGCCATTACAGCCGTGTTTCAGGCCTGGGCCTTGAAGCGCTTCAGAACATCAGTCCTCTTTGTAATCTGACTTTTCTCCAGAAGTCCTGGAACAGGCAGCGGCAGCTCAATTACAATCTCATTTTGTACCTAATGAGCTCTCTGAACCTTTCACTTCTGTGTTTATACAGGTGCCTATACAAAGACACAGCACTGAATCAGCCCTTGTTAAGGTAATAATTTGCTGATGTGTCGTAACTCTTGGACTGTTAATATTCTCCTCCTTCTGGATATAAATGTAGTTTTACATACTGTTAATCATGGTGTTTTTCCGATTTGTATGGATACCCATAGTCATAGTCATATGGATAGTCATAAATCATAGTGATCACTGATGCTTCTGTTGATTGATTTGTCTCCTGATAGGAGCTTATGTGTAAATCCTGGTTATGTGAAATATGATAATGTCTCAGTTACTCAAGGTGTTCCACAGGTTCTCTACTGGGACCTTCACAGTTAAATATTTACATGTTGTCTCTTGGTTAGGTTAATTGTCGTCACAGACTTGGGTTTCTATGTTTATGACACTCACATTTACTTGCATGTGTAATTATATACTACAGCAGCATTTTTTAACTTTACAGGTGTCCATCTTACACAACATACAGTACATACCTTTATTTCATCGACATTTACCTACTGCAATGCCTGACTTACTGCACTATCAATGAAGCTACAAGAGGATTAAGTGTGTCCAGAGCTGCTCCTTGTGTACAAACTAAAGGTACTGTATGTGAGAACATAACTTCCGTCCTCGTTACACTGCACTGGCTCCCTTTGAAATTTAGAAAGCTTTAGAGTTCTCCTGCTCATGCATAAGGCACAAACGAATGGTCTAGTTCCAGGTTATCTTTAAGGACGTACTGCATAGGCATAAAGCTTAGCTCTTAGGCTGAGATCTGCTGCTTCAGGCCTCCTCACGGGTGACAGATCCTCCTCACTCTGCCAAAGACCAGGTATCAGATCATGGGCCACGGAGATCTCATGTGCAGAACCACATCTCTGTTTGACTGAATGCTGTCAATCTGTCCTGGGCCAAAGTAGGTTGACCCAAATCTTGACCTGCATATCCAACTCCAACTCTGCAACCCAGTATGCTGGGCAGCTGTGAAAGCCCTCCAAGAAAGACTTGTGAGCTCAACACAGTGGGCCATATTGGATGAGAAAGGATTGAGCAGAGGATATAATGACCACCATGGCTTGGAGCACAAATGAAAAAACAACATGCAGAAGACAACGGCACTACTTCCTAATGATTCATGGGCCACCTGAGCTTCTCACGAGTGTGGGAGACAGAAGAGAGTACGAAGAATTGCATTGACCCAGGGTCAGCAGAAATCCAAGGAGTAAACACCTTCAAATCCCATTTTAATAGCTTACTTTTTTTTTCTCAGGGCCTTTTATTCCTTTCCTAAAGGCTATTTACCCAAAACGATGGGCGCAGTCAATTAAAAATTAATGTAGGTTGAAAGACTGTGAATGAATGCAAACATACTCCTGCAGTCAAGCAGGGACGAGGCATCACGACTGCTGTGTGAAACTGTCCTGAAAGGCACACTGCACCTGTACGGTCTGTACGCTGGTGTTGTGAGGGCGTCTTTAAAATGAGTCTGCTCTGTGAGTTACTATAGAGTAGGGGACCCACATTCAAGCTCTAGGGAACCAGTGAGGGAAATCTTTTTTGCACTATTTATTTGGTTATTTCTTATCACAGGAGGAGATTAATACCTTGCCAAAAATATCTTAGTTTGATAAGTATTCTTCTGTGAGTCTGACAAATTCTGTGTAATAAAACAAAGTTATTTATACCAACTGCTTCCAGCTGAAAATTCAAGTATTCCTAGGAGAGCAGCTCTCACCTCCACGTCCATGTCTTCCCGCTGCACTGCTGTGATTTCGGGAAACTCTTTGGTTTGCGCCCTGATGTAGCATCTCTGATGTCTGGCAAAGAGGACTGCAGCTATTCCCTTGGCAAGGAAAGACAAAGGTAAAAAACTGTCACTGGGATAAAGCACAGTTATTGTTAGCATCAGTCTGCAACAAATATTTTTCTATTTTAGGACAGCAAAAAAGACTCTCCTTCAACAGAGGTGTTAAAGAATTCCCAACGTTCCCGCAATATTTCTGCAAGAAGGTTTAGTCTTTAAAAAAAACGCACACACAAAAGGGTTAAACTTTGAAATGCTCTGAAGTCACCACGGGCTTCAAGTGCTTCTCCTGAAACCAGATCGTTGATCCTCTGCCATACAGATTCCTTCCCTTTGCACTAGTGGAAAAAAAATCCATCTCACAGGCCTAAATATTTCATTGGATTTGTTTCCAGTGACATACCCAGTGTCTCTCCTCCTGCAGGAAAACACCGAAACCGAATCTGATTTCAGTAGTAAAGGAAAAACAAACCATTACATAAAACTAGACTTTGGGACTGGTTTTCATTTGAAATATTTCATCTTATTTCTCACTTCAGTGCTACAGTTGGTTATTTTTTCTTTCAAAATAAAGACTACCATGAAAATCAGCCACCTTCAATGATGCACTAAATACTTTTACACAATAACATCTCAAACATGTTATCAATCAGTTAATATAATCAAACAGATGCCTTTTTTTCCTTTTAAATCGCTAAATTTTAAAAACCTGATATAAATGATACCTGATTTAATCATGCATACATAATTAGCTTTAAAAAATAAAACACCAAATGCAGGCATAGCTACACATTTAGACCTCCTTGCTGCGATGGGCTCCTGCTTAATTTGCTGTAATAGTAATCCTCCACACTAAAGAAAGAACAATCTAGAGATGAGATGATTACAAAGGTTGTTCAACCAGAAAATAAAGAAAAGACAGTTCATTAAAGGGAAAGCAATGGGAAAAGGATGCGATTAAAAATAAAATGTCAAAATACCGCCTCATGGTTTTACTGATTAAATAAACATAGATACAGAAACAGCTTCCCGTTGAACAATTATCTGATTGTGACCATCAGCCATCCCAGCTGCTCTGTGTAACGCAGGGAGAGGTGAGGGATCACCATTCTAATCTCCGTTGTATCAGTTGTTTCTTTCTGTTTGCATTTATGGGCTGTCAGTGCCAATGACATGCCGAGGAAATAATACTTAGGATGCATCCTTTCAAATTATCTGTGAGCCTGCTTCACAAAATTAATAAACACAACTCAGTGTGTCTCACTGGCAGTGTGCTTCGCAGCAAAGTGCTGAACTAGTTACAATGACTTGCTCAAAAGTCTCAAGTGTTTTTCACATGGCTTAGAAATGTGTCCAAATTGCATGTGAAAGTGGGTGTAAATATATTAAAAATGTAAATAAAATGTTATCACATAGAAAAGATGAAGAAACCCAATTATTTAGAAAAGCACATCTGAATGTCAGAGCCTCACAGATGTGTATTTATATTTTGTATTAAATTAAGAAATGTGAGACGCTGGCTCATCTGGTTTGAATTAAACAGAAGACAAGGAATTTGGTGATATGAGCTTTTTCTGTGCCTCTACAGCCCACATTCCTACACTGCCAAGAAGCCCTGAGCTGTACAGCCTTCTGATCCTTAGCCATTTCCAAGGCAAAGGTTTCTAGACGAAGTGGTACTGTTATTTAAATCTATATTTATACTGTTTTTACATATTTATTTGGCTGATGCTTTCATCCAAAGTGATTGACATTATCACCTGTTTATGCAGCTGGGTTTGTTAACAAGAGCAGTTTGGGATTAAGTACTTTGGTCAAGAATATAACATCATTGTCTCAACTGGGAATCTGAACCCACATCCTTCCAGTTATGAGAACAGAACCCTGAGCACAGGGTTACCCTGGTTTCCTGTAGGTATGTTTCTTGCAAGGTTCTAGTCCCTGCAGGTTCCACCAGAAAACAAGTGAGCTTTAAAGGAAACAAAAGGACAAAACCATAATAACAGGAGTGGAAACGCATGGAAAGTACACTGAAGATTGAGAACAATAAGCACCTCTTTATGTACTGAAGGGTGGCTGGAGTCTGTAACAAGCATCCCAGCCATGTTGTCAAAACTGACGCTCTGGCTTCTTTCAAATGACTGCGTAAATTCCTCAGAACAATCAGCTATTAACAACCAGACAAGTTTCATTTTGAAACCTTTATGTTCTTAATGCTACTGTACACCCATGGATCCTGGCTAACCATTGCTAAACCTGTAACCCGATCAGAGAGATCTGCTGACCATGACTACACCTCAGAGCCCTGCTTGTTTCTTTTAGAACTGAGGCCCGTGTGCTGTGACTGTAAATAGCAAAGCAATGAAGAAAATTCCACCTAAGCAATAGGACCAGAGTGTCCAGCTGCTGCCTTTTTGATAGCAGGCTGGCGGAAGGAGAGAGCGAGAATGTGTATGTGGGGGGTTCTTTTATGAAGAATAAAGAACAAATTTTGCTGGTGATTGTTATCGAAAATAAATTTCCAGTGTTTGAATACAGGCAATTTTGCACGACAAAAGGGCAAAAGATGTACCATGTAATATTCATCAAAGACATCCCTTAAGACTATTAAAAATGAAAGACAAAGGGACCAGCTACTACGAGCAATGATATAGGTCCAGAGTTTTAAAGCCTGCATTGTAGTGAACAATTGGTTCACCGCACACTGGAGACAAGGTCAATAATTAATACTGCTCTCCTCCTGTCGGCAAAGAGACCAGAGACAGATTCACAATGAGCTAACTCCATTGTATACCGCGGAATAACAAAAGACATCTGAAAGAAAAGAAGCGAGGCAATCTGTGAAAAAATGAAAATCTCAAAAGATTTTGACAAGAACGAGGCTAAGGTTTCAGTTTCAGTTTTCTTTCTTGAAACGCTTCTAGTTTATACAGTATCGCTCCTACTAAAAATACACGATTAATGGCACAAACTCTACTTCCGTGGCAGATTCGCTTTAAGCTTAATTGTTTATGCATTTTCACCTCCTCGTAAGACATACGCTTTTGGATACAATGTATAATTAGTTGTTAAATGAAGAATCTGAAGTCGGTGTGAATCTGCGTATTACATTTTTAAAGTCGTGAACCTCCAGGACTTCGTCCGTGCCGTTCCCTGTCCGGAAGATCTCCAGCCGGTTGGCGGGGTCGATCTCCATCAGACTGTCCACCTCCACCCCGTCCAGCAGCACGCGGTACTGCAAGCCGTACACCTGCAGGAAGAGCACAGGACAGCCACAGCACGCTGACACAGCACAGGAGAGCCAGGGCGAGCTGGGAGACAGTACATAGTGCAAAAGCGCTATTGTGAACCACAAACGATTTTAGACCGATTAGTGATCTAATTATTAATACTTCTCAGTGATTGTTGATAAGTGCAGGGCTGGCAGTGTATTGTGCAAAATATCAAGATTTAAAAAAATGTAATTACATGTGTTAACATAATACAGTGTATTTCTTGAAACTTTTTAGTTGAGAGCCTGAATTCACAGGGCTGACAGGCTGAAAATCAACTTTAATTTAATGGTCCTACTCAAGGGTTACCAGATTATACAGGAGACTTTTTTGCTGTGCACATTCGTAGCAGTTTTTCTTTAGTCTGCAGCAGAAGTCACTGAACTCTTGAGTTTTTTGTCCTTTGGTTGAGTATACACAGGTAACTCTTCCAAAGAAGAATGATTTATGCCTACTAGCCTAAACACACAGCACACACTGCCTGATGAATATTTATGCAAGAGTAATGTTTTCTTTTTAGCTGGAGTATTATTTCAAAGATCTCATATAACAGTCTTCAATAAAGACACAAGTTTGCTCTTTGAACTCTTCACAATATGTACAGTAGCTCCTGAAGAAATAAACAATGGCTTTCATCTAAAACAAAAAAAAAATTTTTTGCTGTTCTGCTGTTTAAGAGCCTACAATAGATTATTTACAATCTGAGCAAAGTGGTGTCACTTGGTCATGAATTAAGTAGAAAAAAAACAGTAATGTAAATATATTACATTAGTATTTTCTGATGTGGAAAACAAAACAAACTGTCCAGCACATCCACCTGTTCAAATGCACAGTACACTGAGTATTGCAAGACATTTATTGTGCACCTGTGATGTTTTGGATAGAAACATCAATAGAAAACTTTCTTTTTACAGTCTCTGTAAGGGATTTAACTTTTTTCTTGAATTTGTCAAATTATAAATTGCTTCTTTCCCTTTTTAGCCAAATAACATACAAACTGTTTTATGTGGATCTTTAAATATGAGGCCAAAAACCCATCATTTTCAGAAACTATGAATAAAATCACAATACCTTACAATTGAACCAAGCTACAATTGAGAACAATTGCCCTTTTCCTTTCAGCTTCATTTTTTTCCATTATGCTTCCACTAAAAGAACACAGTTCCTAAACTCTTTTCTTTACTTCCTTTGTCTTTTATTCATAGCTAAATCCATTGTAATTCAACAAACTTTGCAGCAATTCTACTATTCTGCTCAGCAATAGCTGCCTGCGTGAGTAACACAGAACCTTGACTTTGTGAAGAAATAATTATAATGGCAGTTGATTTCTTGTTTGTGACGGAACTCATGGAGGCCTGTTAACACACAGCAATTCAAAAAGTGTCCAAAGGAAAAGAAAGAACACAATTTGTGGTTTTAAAATAATTTTCACCAAGGGCACAACATGTTAGAAAAGTGAATGCATTATGAACCTCTGTTTGGCTGTATGCCCAGTTATGTGCTTTAAGATTTCAGGTGAGTTCTCTCATTATAAGGACAGTGGTGGTAGAATCTATCCTCCACTAATTATTAATTTTAGTTTAATTTAGTTTTCTTTCTTTAGTTTCCTTCTAAAATGCTCTACAACTACTTCTACTTTGCTCTTGTGAGCACGCAAATAAGAGAAAAAAAGTTTTAATATATATTTGCAATTGCTGTTTATTTTTCAATTTTTCTACAAGGAAACATGAATGATTTGGCTACTGGACTGAATGCAACATCATCTGTGCTGTGTGCAGGAAGGAGATCCTGAGTGTGTGAAATGAGCTGTCAGAGCCGCTGGTCACGAGAGTCGGTGCCACTGGAACAGTGGCGAGTGTCTCTGTGGTGTGACAACTGCTTTCATCCGCACTGCCTGCTGATTTCGGGAAGCGCCCGGCAGACTCACGCGCTCCCCAGTGCTCAGCGGCTCTTTAAACTACTACTGTCCACAGTGTGGGGCTCCCCTGCACTCGGACGGAGAGTGTTTTCTCATCAGACCACGTCAGAAGAGCTGAACAAGTTTGAAAGAATGTGCCTTCTATGGCATAAAAGCTTCTGAGTCCGATAACTTGGCCACCATACTAAAACTGGGAACATGGGAAGACTACATACAATATTTGTACACAGTAGAAACTCATTATTTAGATTAGTTATTAAACCAAACATTGACATTTCAGAATAAAATGAGGCTTACATTGTACTTTCACATCCCATTAGGCTTCTTAACTTATCTTCTATGCTAGAAGACATCCCTGAGATTTTTTTCTTATTCAATAGGAACTTTTATTTAAGACTGAGACAGGGGAGACATTCTTCCATTTTCTCCCCTCAGAATTTCTGAGTGATGGAAAATGACAGAAGAGAGCAAAATGCCACACGCACACACTTGGAAACCAGAGAGAACCCTATCAATTACCGACAAAACCTACATACAGAAATGCATTATTCCAAACTTATGAAAATCCTCACTCCCTAAAATACAAATCCACAAAATCTAGTCAGTAAATCATGGAGGTGTAACATATTTTGATATGATTGTTAACTATGAACACTTATTCCACATTTCAAATCAATAGCTTAGAATGTTGTGCCAGTCTGAATTTAAGCAGCAGGTAAAATGTGTTTTTTTTGTGTCTCTAGACCTGGAAGAGGTAATTAAATCCTTAAACTTACATTTTCACTGGTTAATAATTACTATTTATTAATGTTTCAAATTAACATTACATACAAAAACATACAAACCTGGAGGGATATGGCCTATATTTTAAGTTATGTGCAGCAGAGTTATACAACAGAAATGTCATGTTGTTTTCATTTACTCCAATTGTTACTTAATTAAGTGCCTGTCAAGTAAACAAAACAAACACCTGAATGTAACTAACAAAGACATTGAAATATAATGTATTCGAAATGATGAAACACACTAATTTTAAAAAGCATGCCCTTTTCAAAACTGATTGGTAGAAAACAGAAATGACATTGCAGCCACACAGTCATCTTATTCATGTGCTGTGCAAAATTGACTGGGTTGGCTCATTTCACAGGCTCTTTAAATAACATAGCATGCAAACAGTGAGATTAGCTTAATTGATTTTAATTAAGCCTAAGTGAACAATTTAGCCAAACAATAATATCAATAATAATTACAATAACAATATACAGTAAAGACTTGCTAATCTTTTCATTTGCGATTGTTTTGCATTTTTTCAGAGAAAAGCTTCAGTAATTATGTAAATCAGAATCAAAACACAAATCCTGAGTTAATCTGCACTGGAGATAAGCTTCAGTAAAGTAAAGTTGCAGATTCATGTTAAACTAATGTGGCCCTAAGCACTGCATCGACTGTCGGGACCTAGTTTAAAAATTGCTTCTCTTCAAAAATACAGTACTTAATTAGTGCGGTTAACAAAGTTTTAATGAAAATATGTGCTATTTTGTACATAAGAACACCATAAAGGTTACTGATGAGGCCCAGCCTGTCCTTCCGCTTGCTGTATTTTGTGTTCGAATGACATTTCCAACTCTCCGCTGTGGCTCAAAACGCAATATTGTCATAGGGACACGAGTGCTGCTGCCTCCCAGCTCTTGGGCTCTTCTGTGTGGAGTCTTCTCCCCAGCTACCCCAGTTTCCCCAGTTTCCTCCTTTCTTCCAAAGCCGTCGTGCCCAGTTCAACTGGAGTCTTTGCCTTATCCCTGTGTGCACCTGTGATGGGCTGTGAACTGGGGAGTTGTCTGAAGAACAGTTGTCTCATCATGACCCTTCCAGCACTACCATTGCCAAAGATATTGGGTACCAACAGCGGGCTTTCTGGTAATGGATAGGTAAGTAATTAATTTTAATTAATTTCTTTCAAATTCACTTGGAAAATTTGCAGAGCGCAAAAGTCTTTACACACATGAAGATAACAGTGGCGCTTCAGAGATTAATCAAGATAAGCAACCATAGAGCCAGGCACAATATAAATACGCTTCATGTCCTCTGCATTTCTTGCACGCAGAGCTCTAGTTTCTTTTTCAATTAACCCACCTAGATGGGTTGGCATCTGGAGTCTAGCCCAAGACAATAATCCAGAGAGACTCAGCTAACCAGTCAGACAGCAGCACACAGGGAAAGAATCCAGACATGCCTCCAATTAGACCTGACCGAAAATCTGTCACAACCTTTCCAGGGCAAAAGAATTTCAGGAGGCAATGAGCCAAACAGCAGAAAACACTTTCACCTTCGCAACGCTGTATAGCAGCTTGAGAAAAAGCTACTCACTCACATGCAAACACACAGAGTTTTTTTTTCTTTTTGCAGCTCACCATATCTTGTTTTCTCTCATGCAGTTCTGCTTTCAATTACATTATGGTACACAGAGAAGAGAAAAGAGAAAATAAGGGCAAGAGAAAGAATTAAAGGGAACGAGAGCCCCCCTAGACTTCATCACTGTATTGAGGTCTCAGTGACACTAGGGGAGTGGAACAGAAGGAAGTGCTCATGAGCTCAGGACAGCTTGCGAGCTGATGGCTGTCAGTCAGGGGTCAAGCAGTAGAGCTGACCCACTGACTCAGGGAGGAGCAGCACTGGACCAGGAGGAAGGGCAGCTGCATTGCTGAGAGGGGAGCAGTGCAGGCAATTTACCAGCAACATTAGTAATGAGAGACACTCTGCTGAAGGCACAGAAACAACGACGTCACCTTTAAAACGTCACTGAAAATGCCAGCATATTAGCTAAGAAGTGACCTTGCTCAAGAGAAAGACCATCTTGGACCCCAGACATAGCTAAGATGATTAACAAGAACACACTCAAGACAGGATTCTCAGCCCTTAGACTTTTTATTGCTAATTCAGTACTATTTTTTATCTCTGCCACTTGTACCCAAGTGAATACAAACATGCAAGCAAAGGCCAAGCTTAAATATTATTTTCAACTCTGGAGCAGGGGAAGATGCGAAGAGGGCTGGAAAGATGAAT